GAAGGCAGGATTGTGTGTGTGTGGCGGTATCGGATCGGCCAGTTACCACTGTGAAGTAAATCATCCGATACCGTAATTTCGTCCAGTATCGGCCCGATACCGATACCCAGTATCGGATCGGCGCATCTCTAGGAATAGTGTATTAATGATTTACTTTCAGCTGTAGTTGTGAAACAGAGATCTGTCTCGACAAACATCGAGTCGCTCATCAGTCACTGTCTTTCAGCAGCTTTGGACAAAAAAGGGCGAGTGGAGACTTGATTTCTACTTCAAATCAGTTTTATTTGGTTTTTATGTGTCTAAAGAGCAGAAATAGAACAGACAGAAATATAACCTTTCAGATGGTGACAGAAACTTTGAAAAGATCATCTCTAAAACACAGAGAATCAAACCTGAAAAACAAACCGCAGACACTCAGGATGGTTCCAACCATACTCCATTCAAAGTTTGTTTAATTTAAGAGTTCAGGCATAAATTTGGTTTTAGATCAAAACTTCCATATTTCTTTTTTGTCTTCCATCTGTTCTGTTTTAAAAGAGTTTAAAGCTTTGTGTGCTTTTATCTTTATGACACATTATTAAAAGTAAATTGTTTTAAGAGAAAAGAAATCAGTAACATTAAAGCATCACTTTTCTCATTGGTTCTAGCCTTCAGTCACTAACATCTCTACATTTTAGTTTCTACAGCGTGTCGACAGCAGGAGGTAGTCTGAGTTTAAACTAACAATACAATCACCAGGTTTTATAGTAAACAACAGTATGGCTTTGACATCACTTGTATGGCTCATTGTTGAACATGGCTTATTGCTGAATATGGCTTTATTGTTGTATATGGCTAATGTCCTTTGTAAAAGGTCTAAATTAAATCTTAGAGCGAAGTTTAATCAGAGGCTCGACCTTCAGCTGAAAACAACTTATATCAAATTCTAGAAACATTTTCACATCATTCAACTACAAACAGAAAGAATCAGAAAGAGGCAAACAATATAAAACAGGGAGGGAAACATGGGATCAAATGGGAATAATTATAATATTATTAGCAATAATAATAAAAATTTAAATGGTCTTCATTTTGGCAGTTTCCTCTTCACCACCGACGGCAGTGACGGAAAAATAACACTGAACTGAAAGAAGAAAGTTCTAGAAAAAGAACAGCCGAATTTATCATCAACACGTCAAACACTTCAGTTTGTTCTGGTTTAAACCTTCAGAAACACTCGACTCGGTTCTGGGCTGAGACAAAGGCAGCGAGTCACTCCGACCGACTCAGACCTTCAACCTTGGACCCTGAGGACAGCAGAGAGGATGAGGAGACTCAAAAGACTCGATGTGACCTGAGTAGATTCTGTCAGACTATATGATTCGAGACCAAATACGGTTTCAAACCAAACGCGACTTTATACTTGATGCAACTTGATGAGACTAAACGCGACTCAGTGTTTCAGTGTAACTCGACTTCAGTGTCACCGGCATGACTGATGACCTGAACTGAACATGACTCGATATGACCTGATGACTTATTGAGTCTTACTGATGTGGTTTGAAACTGGGTGCGACTTGAGACTTGCCACAACTCAATGAGAATAAATGTGCCTTGATGTGACTTAAGCAATATGTGACTTAAGATTTGATGTTATTGATGACCAGTTAAGTCTCACTGATGTGACTTAAAACGACTTGATGAGACTCAACATGACTTCAAGGCTTATTGTAGCTTGTGACATATCATGTCTATACAAGACTAATGTGACTCAGTGTGAGTCTTATTGACTTGTGACGTGATGAAAACTGAATTCAACATGACTAACTGACTTGACCTGATGACTTTAGTCTTGATGTGACTAGAAGTCAGCGAAACACTAAACAAGATGGGACCTTGAAAGGAACTGATGACTAATCAAGTCTCACTGATGTGACTCGATGAGAACTACATTCAATGTGACATGACTTGGTAAGACAGAACACGACTTGAACCATCACATTTACAGTGGCAGCATTTCTGCATCTGAAGTTTGGAGGTTAAAGTTGCAGTTTGCAGAGTTTTACAGGTCCTCAGGGTCGCCGGTTGACGAGTCAATGAGTCACTTGGCAGCAGAGATCGAAGCCGCAAAGACATTCAACCACACAACAAACTCTCTGTGACTCTAAATACAAACATCATATTAGTGAATCACTGCTGAGCTTTTGGTAAAACGTGTTTCTATAATTATTTGGTTAAACTCATCCTCATGTTTATTATATATGAAAATATATTTTCACTTCTCCATTTTCCAGAGTTTTAATTCAAAATATAAACTGTGACGGCGAGTAAATCTTTTGGTTGGTTTGTTCTTCGACACAGAGTGAAAACAAACAGGGGAAACTATTATTCTTTCTTTGGATGATATTCATCTTGTTTTTTTAAAGGATATTTGGCTGAAACTCTACAGACTACGTGTGCTCTTCATCTACTGGAATCAGTTCACATATTATAAGACATCAGAGGTCGGTTCAAACATGGCTGACTGGGCCGCAGGACGTGGCCACAATCACCAAAATAAAACTTCAAAACTTTCACAAACACTCGGACAGAAAAGGGCCGAGACATCCCGACTGAGACGTCATTGTCCAAACTTTCCTGTTTCACCTGTCTCGCAGGTGTCAAGTGTTCGATGACTGAACTCCTCTTCTCAGGTGGAGGTGAGATACCTGCAGAGGAGGGGACATCTTCATGACATCCATCCTTCAGCCTATCAAACACCTTTAACTCCTCTGCAGGTAAATGTTTGGTTCTCCAGTAAGCTTCAGGACCCAAACGGACTGTGGTTGGTTATTGTTAGCTGTTTTCTGTAGGCACTAACATGAGCCACAGAGTTGAAGCCGATCAGGTGTCTAAAGACCTGCATCATGTCTGTGGAGGTCAGGACTAAAGATCAGAACTGAATAAACACATTATCAGAATGACTAAGATTTACTGAAGAAAACCAGGTTTAGAAGGTAAAAGCTCAGATCTGCAGGATGCTGGTGGATCCTAAACTGTGACAAATAAAATGTGATCTTGTGAATGACCTGGAATCAGTTTCTGGAGTGTAGAAGGTCAAGCTGTAGGGCATGAGCACTGACTCTGAAGGTCAGGTTCCTCACATTCTGCGGCTCAGGACATGGGAAATTATACGAGCTTGGAAAGTTTTTGGAACATTAAAAGTTAAAATATAAGACAAAAATTGCTGTTGGTTTTCTGCTGCAGACAACAATATCTGATGAAGGTTTTCTGACTGTTGAAGGTCTTTGGTCCACCTGCAGAAGGTTGTTTGATCTTTAGTTTGGATCTTTATCAGTTTTGCAAGCCTTTGGGGGACCTGAAGCAGTACTGTACAAAGTCAGGAGGAGTCAGTCCGAAGCTTCCTCTTAGCTGGGATCCTTTTCCCTTCGTTAGCTTTTCTATGGACACATCCATCGCTGGAGGATGTTCAGAGGTTTCAAAGTGAAGGTCAGGCTTCGGTGATGGGACGAACAGGCAGAAACATGGCAACTGGCCCCACAGGGAGCTTTTGGTTTTGAGGTAGGTTAGCTTGACCAGCAGCAGGAGGCTAACGCCTGCCTGTAACTCAGGTGTTTGGCGTTGAGCCGGAGGTAGCTCTCTTTGGAGGTAAGAGTTTGGGGGAGGAGTTGGGGGGTAAGGGAGGCATCCAGCCGACAGTCGACCTCCTGAACTTCCTGATCTGAGGCGAACTCGGTGAGACAGACAAACACTGAAAGGCTAAAGCAGAGTAGAGGAGTGCTAACATCCTCCACAGTCACCAGCCGACCAGAGAAAATAATCTTTCGCTTTGGCTCTGGGCCTCAGAGGACCAACGCTCAGGTGAACCACCTGTCCAGATGTATCCTCTGAGGACCCGACTCTGGTCAGACCGGTGAAAGGCCTCATCGTCTGCGGAAACTTGGCACCGTTGGTGACTAAATTAAAATTAGCCCAAACTGAAAATATAACATTTTGGTTTCAACAGGAGTCGACCAGGACGCAACAACATCAGCATTTGATCCCACAGGGAGCGAGTCATGTGACCGACCGCAGCCGGTTCATTTTAAAGTTCGAATCAGGAGCTTTGGTTTCAATCTGACATCATCATGAATTGGAGTCGAAGCAGGCGGACATCTAAGCTGGTTACAGTTGGTTTGGTGTTTGAAGGTTTTGGTTCTCTGTGGGATCAGATGCTCACTGGACGCTCCTCAGACAAACATCATCACCATTGACAAACATCATCATCATCATCATCATCATAAAGGCTGAAGGCTGTCAGGAAGAGAGGAGGCGACGCCGGCTGGTGGGGTGGGGTAGGGGTAGGTCAGGTGGGGAGGAGGTGGAGTTTATCCGGTGCCTGAGCCGGACTGGACAGGTGGAGTCGGTTCTACCATGACCATCACTGGAGGAGGAGCACAGTCAGCTCTCTGTGGGTGGAGAAAGGGGCAGGAGTTATTGATGACAGGTAGGTGAGCTGCATCATCAGCTCAGGTGTGTTTCCATCAAAAGGAGACTGCAGGTTACTTTAGTTACTCAGATTGTTGATATGGTTCAGATAAAGTTTGAGTTCATCTTGATAAGAATCAGAACTGCAGCAGGTTCCTGACCTGTCAGGTGAGGACTGTGTTGCACCTGTAGAGGCCCCTGACCAGGTGTTTAACTTCTGGACTGAACCATCTTTCATTCATATATGTAGTAAATATAATGCTCATCTCAAACTGCTGGCAGGTTTTGGATTCACAAAATCAAATGGACCTAACATGATAAAATGGATCATCCGGATCACCGAGTTACCTGGCTGAGCTCGATGCTCTCAGGTTTAGGACCTCTGACACCGCTCAGGGTGGGCGGAGTCTCCCAGCTAGCTGCTTTCCTGCAGAAAAGACTGAACAGAGAAGAAAGCGATGATGATAATGACAATGTCCTCACTGGATGTAGATCAGGCAGCTGAGGATGGGGATGAAGATATTGATGGTGATGATGAAGGGTCTACCTGCATCAGTATCCCAGCAGCAGCAGCAGAGGTTGATAAGGACTATGATGAAGAAGATGAAAAAGATAATGATGATGAAGGTGATGATGATGACGAAGGTGGTCCTACCTGCGTCGGTATCCCAGCAACAGCAGCAACAGGCAGCAGAGGATGCAAGCAATGCCGCTGTGGATCCCGACCAGCAGAGTCGACATGGATCCATCAGACTGGGCGCAGTTACAGCTCTGACCAGCTGGGGGAGACATAGCAGATTAGACTGGTTCTACAAGGTCTACTGTTTCTGCTGGTTCGGCTGTAGGTTCGGGCTCCTACCTGTTGCAGAGTTTCCAACTTCTGCCAGAGACACCAGGCGGCGAGTGGATGGACTGTCTCCGTTCCCATTAAATGCCACCAGCTGGATCTCGTAAACAGCCGCCGGTTCTGCAGGAGAACGTTCTGATTATCACCAGTTCAATGATGCATCAGAATCACCAGAAACACTAGTTTATACTAGAAATTAGTGTGTTGTGTTGCTCTGACCCAGGTGTGAGATGGTGTGTGTGTTGATGTGTCCTGGGAAGGTGTCCAGCCTGTGGACATCAGGGTTGGAGACCCCTCGGTACTCCAGTCTGAAACCCTCCAGTTTGCCAGGCTTGCTGGGCAGCTCCCAGTACACTTGCATGGCCGTCTGGTTCAGGACCTTGGTGAAGAAACTGGGAGGACTGGGAACTGTGAGAAGGACAGAGAGGAGCATCTTTAGACCTCCATCTTTTAAATGGGAAGCTGTATTCTGCTGTGAGAGCACCCTCTGGTGGACAGGAGCGTTTACTGCATCCAGCTGTCAGAGAACCACATTACATGCAAATTCTAACAATGTTCTAATCTAACATTCACAGGACATTTTAATGATATTTATTATTTCCAACAATATTCCACTGAGGTTAAAGGTGAAATAAAGCAGAACGTTTCTAATTGGAGGCTGACAGATGCAGATTTTAGTGTTTCCCTCTCCATACAAACAGTAAAGACGCAGACTCAGGTGAAGTTTCAGGTGACAGTCTCAGGTTCAGGTGAAGTGTCAGGTGACCTACCGCCTCCCATTGTGGTGGCCGTGATGCTGTTGGACTGCTGGCTGCCTCCCAGAGCGGAGTAGGCCTTCAGGTAGATGGAGTAGGTGGTGGCAGCTTCCAGGTTGTTGAACTCGTGTCTGAAGGTGGTTTTACTGACGGCCTCCTGCAGCTCAGCGCTGTCTGGCTCTGAGGATGTCACACAGGTGAGACAGGTGTCAGAAAGGTTAGACAGTTGCTGGGTAATCCAGCTCCTACAGCTGCAGACTGATAAAATAATTTTGTCTGATCTTGTTTTGCATAAACACAGTCTAATAATCTCAGGTTTAATCCCTGGTTTTTTCCCAGGTTAAATCTCAGGTTTAATCCCAGGTTTTTATCCCACCTCCCAGCTTCCTGATGTGCAGGACGTATCCGATGATGTGCTGGCTGGCTTGTTCAGTCGGCTGCTCCCAGATCAGCTGCAGGCTGGTGGCACTGAGGGCGGTGGCCTGGAGCCCGGCAGGAGCCTCGGGAAGCTCCGCGCCCTGACTGATGGCGAGGCGGGCGCTGGCCTGGTTGGTCCCGGCGCTGTTCTCAGCAATGCACTGATAGATGGCCTCATCCTCTGCAGTGATGCGGGTGATGGCGAGTGTCCTGCAGGTGGAGTGGGGAACATTTAGAAGTCATCACCATGGAAATGACTTGCATCAGAATTAAACCTCTGACATCTATACAGCTGTTTGAGCTGTCGAGATACAGTCTGGGTGGTCAATAGATTGGTTAACTGATCGGTTAATCAGTCGATTATTCAATCAATCGGTTGGTTGGTTGGGCTTACGTGTTGCCGTTGGTCAGCTTGACGTTTCCGCTAGGCGTCAGCAGTTTGCCATTCTTCAGCCAGATGAGATGCGGTTCCGGGGCACCAGACGCTGTGCAGCTGAAGACAGCGCTGCCTCCTGCTGGTCTGGAGGCGGACTGCGGCCACTGAACGAACTCTGGAGGAGCTGCAGGAACGAAGGTCAGAGTGGGTTTAACAAAAAAAAAAAAAAGACTCAGAAAACATTTTATATAAAGTAAGAAGATTCAAAGTGCAGTATGATTATAAACTTAATTCTGTATCATTATTATTATTATAAGGAGAGGAGCTGCAGCAGGAACTGAATAAAAATACTACAATACAGCTCTGCTTTATGTTTTAAAGTCATGCATACTTCCTGACACTGACCATACAGTTAAAACAGTTTCACTGAAGTAAAGCTGATGATATAATTATAGGATGTAATTAGAAGAATTTATCACTGGATTCACAACAACATGTTAAGCAAGCTGTGCTACTCTAGGAAAACTGAACAAAATACTAGGAACTTTTAATAAAATGCAACATTTATTTTGCACCAAATGTTCCACTTGAAAATTGGAACCAGACTCTGTGATTCACTTGGTTATAATAAATTCTTTCACTTTGTCATCAAACAAACAGCAAACTGAGAGTAAATGTCGGCAGCTTCTATCTACATGAATGAGACGTTAAAAGAAAGAAAAGTTAAAACGTTTCTTATTAAAGTCACAAAGCCTGCAGAGGGTTCAGCTAAAATAAAAAGTTATTTTTCAGTCAACATAAGTGGTGATTCTGTGAGTTTAACAGTTGAAATGCTGCAGCTTCAGAGTGTTTTCAGGCAGATGTTGTACAAAATACATAAGAATTAAAAGAATTGATGCTGCTTTTTCAAAAATGAAGAATCCTGAACCCTGTGATATAAAATAAGTTCAGTGAACAAAGAGACAGAAGGTGGAAACAAAACATGTGGCTGCAGCTGTTCTGTTGCATTTCTCTGCAGTGTCCAGCAGGAGGCAGCAGAAGCTCACAGAACAGACTCACATAATCTGATTCACTTTGTGTTCAGGACGAAACGTTTAAACAATAAACAGAATAAATCTCAGAAATCCCACTCTGACTGTGACCCTGAAGGTGATGTCACATGTTTCACTATTTCAGGTTTGATCTGTTATTTCTGATTTTAAGAGTCAAAGTTTTTATTTCACAGGGATCCAGTTTCATATTGTACATATATTTTCTAAATGACATCACATACTACTGAGTGGTTAGTCATCTTATTATTACTTTAATTATTATGAATCATTTTCATCTTTTTAATTAAATGTCTCTGCTGAGTCTCATACAGATAAAGTTGTATTTCACAGAGCTGTTTAAACTTAACTGTTCTTTTTTAAAATTTTATTTGTTTTCTATAAGTTACACTGTCATCACTCCATAGTCAATAAATCTAATGATTACTGCAATTATTATTTATGTATATTTGTCCTGTTTAAACAGAGTTTTATATTTACTGATCATTTCTGTCTTTAAAAAAAAAAAAAGAAGATTTTTCTTTCTTTTTGTTCTGTTTAAATAAAGTTTCCATCACTAATAATCTGCGTGTGAAACTCTTGAACTTGAACTCGTCATTGACCTCTGACCCCTCCTAGCAGACAGACAGGTGCTGTCTCGCCTCCGTCTCCACGGTGACACACCATCCATAGAAACACTGTGTCTCCATCACCTCACATGACCTCTGGAAGTACCTCCCCCCTCTCTGACTGAAGAGGGGGTTCAGAGTTTCATCATCAGATAAATGAAACTGATTTCACACACTTCAAGAGCAAAACACACACAGACTCACAAAGACACACAATTACATTAGTCTCAACACATAATCTGTTTTCTATAACCAGCTTTGAGCATCAGTATTATGGGATGTATCATAATTTGAAAAAGTAAAACTGCAGCAGTTTAATGTCTATGACACAGAAAAGAATTAAACATTGGTACCCTGGATGTGTTTTCTGATGATTCGCCAGAGAAAATTTAAAAATGGGCATTTTGGGTGAACTTCCGAGGCTCATATCAGCATGTGTGATGGTAGTTGGTCAGAAGAAGTTATAGCAAATGAAAGGTCTCAGTTTTTTGGGGTTTTTTTAAAACTACATTTGACACCAGGATCATCTTCTCGACACAATTCACTCTGTGGAAAAATAATTTTCTCATAAAGTCATAGTTTAACTGAATGGAGCGTCTGGTTTCGCGTCGCTGTTTAAACTATGATACATCCCATAAAATTGATGCTCAAAGTTGTTTTTTTATCAAATGAACAAAAGCCAGATTCAGTCTTAGGTCTGTGACACCTGGATGGATGTAAAACTGATTTGGTTGCAGGTTTTAACAGAACTCAGATGGGTTTTTCAGCCCTGATGAAGTCACTAGGCTCAGAAATGATGGAAAAAATTTAAAAAGTCTCACATTTGGACCCACCTCTATGTACTTCAAGGGCCTGTAGCTCTGAAAATATTCATAGTATGAAGGTAAAACTTTGCATGGCTTCATTAAATGTAGTAAAGTTATGGCAGATTAAAAAAATCAGTTGGTTCTGAGGGAAACTTGGTTTTATATCTTATAGGAACTGACCGTGTTCGTTCTGCAGATAAAAAATTCCTGAATATTTGTCTGCTTCAATTAAACCCTGAGAAACTGAATTAAGGCAGATCAAGCTCCTGACAGACGGAGTTCGGGGTGAATAAAGTCCTCATTGTGAAGTGCGACTCTTATGCTAATACAAATTATAATGAAGCTCTCGTACGGTCACACAAAGACACACACAGACACACAAAGAGCTGCTGACCTCTGACCCCTCCCCTCCTCCTCTGACTGTCTGAGCTGCAACTGAGCGAAACAAGTGCACCCTGAACCCACGGTCCCTCAACACACCACAGCCAAGCTTATCACCATGTTGTTTACATGTTTACACCATGTTTGCCTGTTGTAAACATGATGTAAACATTTTTCGGACTTTCTTTCTCCCCATCAGCAGCTCATACAAACCTTCCAGTTTTACTGATTTTTTTCTTCTGGCTGTTGTCCGTCATAATGTTTAAAATTAATATCTTCATCAAAAAATCGGTTTCTGTAAATAGTAATTTGTTCTTTTACATTTGACTGTATAATTACACATTTTACTGTATTTAAATCAATGAAAAACATAATTTTACAGATATTTGTTGGCATTTTAATTTTGTAATATATATTTACAGCTTTTTACTGATTTGTTGATGTGTCTTTTTTTTTTTTTTTTTTTTAAACTGGATGCAAACTCACAGGATCAGCACTTAAAACCTGAGAAACAAGACTTGAAGCTAAAACATCAGCAGCACCTGATTGTAGAGCTTGACTTGTGCTGAGAATCAAATTAATATTCCATAAAGGTTTTTTAAATGTTGTGTTTATTTTCCCAAATGTTCCAAACAGATGAGAATCTAAAGGTTTTTGGTTTGAATTTCTGCAGAAATTAAATAGTTTTCTACCATCAGAAGCTGAGGATGTCGAAGGTCAACAGACCCACAAACTGACACACACACACACACACACACACACACAAACATCATGAGTTCAAGTTCAACAGTCCGTCTGCTGTCCAATCAGACATCAGTGTCTCTGCAGACTTTATTCTTTGTGCTGTTTCACTGAACTGTCGGATTCACTTTAATCTGATTTAAAGCTGCAGTTTCTGGTCATTTAGGAATTGCAAACTTACAAAATGCGTTTTGTTGCATCATTCTGCTTTTACACTGTAAAATTATTAATTCAGGTTTCTATTCTGTTCATTAAACTCACAGCTGCAAGATGAAAAATCTAATTTTCAGATCAAGCCTTTAGGTTTAAAACATTATTTGGATGATTAATGCAATAAAGTCGCATCAGCTTAGAATTAACTGTAATTTAAACTCAGATTTGTTGGTTGTTGTTTTCAAGATTTATGCACAACTGCAGCTCAAAAACAAAAAAGTTAGGACAGAATGTTGTTGTATAAATTAATTTGCTAAAAGCTGTTACATGAACTAAAACTGATGAAGAAAGTCTAATTTCCTCAACTTCATTTATTTGCTGACTGTCAACTTAAAAACTTATCCATTTTTATTTTACCTCAGTGTGGGTTAAACACGGAAAATAAGTTGGTGAGCTGCAGAACTTTACCTTGAACCACGAGGCGTCCGAGCGCCGTTCTCCTCGACCTGCTGCCCGGCCGATTGGCTGAACAGACGTAAACACCTGAGTGCTGCAGAGTCGCATCAGAGATCATCAGGTTCCCTGTTCCCAGGACCTGGATCCCCTCAACGCCGATGGAACGTCCGTCTGCAGGGACACAGACAGATCATCAATACATCTGATCGATACCTGATCAATAATTGAAAGATGATTGGTCTGTCTGTTACCAAGGCGACTCCAGGACACGATGGGCCGGGGGTTGCCTGTGGCGATGCACTCCAAGATAGCAGTCTGGTGGACGTTGATGGTGAGGTTCTGGGGCCCCGACAGGATGACGGGTTCCTGGTAGATCCTGAAACCTGCAACTGGACCAGAACCAGAGAACCTGATCAACACAGAGACCTCAGAGACCTCCTGGAGGGTCGACAGGTGAAGGCAGGTGGAGCTGCCGTCTCCACACTGACACAGACTTTAACCTCAGTTTGGTCTAAGTTTATTATTTTTTGCCCTCAGTTTCGTCTTACCGGTGACAGACAGCTGGGCCTCGTGGCTGTAGCGAGTGTTGGCGATGTTTGAGGCAACGCAGCGAAACAAACCACTGTCGGTACGACGGACTCCAGTGATCTGCAGGATGCCATTCGGCAGCAGCGTGTACCTGAACATGACAAATACATGCTAAGGTGTGAGCACGATCCACCTCTGATAAAGCCCAGGACAGCTGAGAGAAAGTACCAGAAGCTTTTTCTACAAATTCATGGCCACGTTAAGCACATATTAAGTTAAATATAAAATAGGTACTAATTACATGTTAAACACACGTCAGTTACACGGTAAAAACACGTTAAAACAGGACTTCATGGACTAAACATCTTCATCATACGTGTGTTTTAGCACATGTGGATCATACCTGGGGTCAGTGTTGCCAAGTGGACGGCGGTCTCTCTGCCAGGTGATGTTGGCCTCTGGGATCCCGTTTACCTGACAGGTGAGTCTGGCCACGCCCCCTTCATTCACCACCACGGACTCAGGATGAGACAGGAACTTAGGGAGGGCTGGGGAGGCAGTCACAACATGTTACATGTATGTTTGCCAATATTTCACTCATATTTGTTGCATGTTTACGATATGTTTGTACATTATTGGTATGTTTACTGTTTGTTAGTTGTATGTTTTAGCTATATTGGTTGTATATTTGGTTTATGTTTTATTTATGTTTGTTGGTTGTTTTGTCTATATTAATTGTATGTTTGTTGGATGCATCATGTATGTTTCATATATGTTTATTGTACATTTGTTGTATGTCTCATGTATGTTAGTTGTATGTTTGTTGGATGTTTCATGTATGCTATCTGTATGTTAGTTGGATGCATTGTGTATGTTTCATGTATGTTTACAGTATGTTTGTTGTATGTCTCCTGTATGTTTGTTGTATGCTAACTGTATGTTTGTTGGATCCATCATGTATGTTTACTGTATGTTTATTGTATGTTCCTTGAATGTTTGTTCCTTACATGCGAGCTGCACACGGGCCTTGCGGCTTATCAGCATCCCATAGCGGTTCTGGGCTGCACAGTCGTACTCGCCGGCGTCCGTCTCATTGCTTTCTCGTTTCTTGGAGAAGTTTCTGATGAGCAGTGTGCCATTGCCCAGCACCATCGCCCTGTCGCCAGTCGCCACAGGAATACCATTTCGTCTCCAGGTGATGGAGATGGGCCCCTCCCCCTCCACCTGGCAGTCCAGCATCAGGGGGCGGTCCCTCACCGCGATGACATCATTGGGCTCCGTCAAGAAGGCGAGCTCTGAGGCTCCGAGCACACCTGAGGGGACAGGTGAGTCCGTCAGAGTTCACATCCAGGAAGTACCGATCGAACTACTGATTTTTTTCATTCATTTACTGTTTAATATCTTGGTTGGAAAATGCTGTTAAACTTCACTCATTTTATCTAAATAGTTAAAAATTGTAAAACTCAAAATGTACACTCAAACTGTTAATATTTTTTCTCTGCACTGATTACACCTGACTTTTGTTCTTTCTCACCACAGTTACGTGTTTTCTCTGTGACTTTGTGTTTTCTGATTGTTTTGCAGAATTTCTTGTTTGAATAAACTTATGTGACCAAAAATCTGATTTTGATTCACAAACCTCAAACTTAGTTTCCCTAAAAAGTCATAAATGTAGCTTTCAGTTTGTAATATTTAACCTTCACTTCATCAGAGAATCATTATTTGTTGTTATATATGGGAAAAAAAAATCTTCACATTTCCCAGCTGAAAATAGAAATGATCAAACAAATTTGCTTTCATCAGTTAACAGATGATCAGAACTGCTGCAGATTGTTTTATTTTGTTGATCATCAGTTCTTCACAGCTGAGACTTAAAAAAATATTAACTGCAGGTTGTTTTATTTCTGAGGATCAAATTGGTTTTAAATGACAGAGTTTCAAAAACTTTAATGTCACATCTTCATCTTCTGTCTCCAGTCAGGCTGGTGACCAATGAACCACCACTGATACTCACTGAGAGGAGGAGGATGAAGGTGAAGATGAGGGTGAGGATGAGGGTGAGGATGAAGATGAGGATGATGTCACATGGTCTCTACAGGATTCACTGTTGATCAGAAACAGGTGGGATGAGAACAAACACCTGCAGTCAGAACTCAGGGCCTAAACCTCCTGATAGAATCGATTCAAGCTTTAATTAAGGTTCCTGTTTGGTTCCTCACAGGAACAATAAAGATGAAAACAATAAACATCAGAACCAGCAGAAGAACATCCAGCTGAACACAGATGGAGGTACCAGAGGCTGCAGGTAGATCACCTGAGCTCTGAGCTCAGCAGGTAACATCCTCTACACTGAGAACATCAGAGATTCTGGGTTAAAGCAGAACCAGGATCTTTCCTGAGCCAAAAACCAGAACCAGAGCCTGAACAGAAGTAGAGATTTAGATTTTCTCATTATGTTTGTACAGAAACACAATGAGCAGCAGGGAGTTGGTTATCTAAACCAGATCTGACAGCTGACTCTGTGACTGAACTCCAAAAGTTAAATATCTGGAAGTAATAAAGTTCCAAAAAATAACTTCTTAGCTTCTGCTTGATATTAAAAGTTCAGGTTCTGTACATCAGAATCTTGTAGTTTTTCATATTTGAGGAGTTTGACTTGATGCATCGCAGTGAAACAGTGGAAAAAAATGGGGTTTTTTTGTTTGTTTTTTTGTTGTTTTTTTTAAAGGACAAAAGATTAAAGAAAAGAAAGTGTTATTTTTTATCAGCATCTGAGAAACTCAAACTTTCACTTTTTAACGTTCAGAGCATGTGGAGGTCTTCAGTGGATTCTGGTTTCTCCTGTTTTACTTTCTATTTCAAAAACTGACTTGATAAGTTCTTCCTGTTTTCTCGTTTGTTCTGTTTTCCTGATAATGTGCAGAACTTTGGAAAAAAGACTGGATTTGATTGAAAATCTACAAATATCCTTTTTTCTGTTTTAGGACTTTCAGCTTCTTATTTTATAATTACCATTAAAGTTCAGCTGCTGCTGTGAAATTCAGATCAGAAAATAAACCGATGAGCTCCAGAAGAAATTTACTTCAGGTTTAACTGAATCAGTGAAACTTCTGTTTTCTTTATATTTACGTTTGTGTGTTTCAGGTTGTTTTTGTCTCCCTGCAAATTTGGTTTATTTTTATATTTTATGTGATTTAATCAAAGAATTTTTAATTTTTTTTTAGCTGATATAAATCGTGTTTTGCTGATTGGATGGTTCAGTCCTCCTCGTTCTTCTTCTGTTCTTTTGTTCCTGAAGCTGCACTTGAACTCTGGGCAGTTTGATTGACAGCTCTGTAGCCCCCACCCACTCAGGCTGAATGAGTTTGCAAACAGAGGGAGGTGGGGGAGAAGTGACCTCTGACCTCTGACCTCTGAGCAGCTGATGTCAGACCCGACGTCTGTCTCTGGTTTATTTGTTTGGTTTCACTTTTTATTTCCTCACATTTTAGTAAAAGCAGATTTGATTTGTTCCTTTAAATCAGTTTCAGACAGTAAACTGGAATTAAGAGTTTATATAAAATCTGTGATGTTAGAGCTGTAGTTGTTCTAAGACATTAAATAGAGAAATGCATGACTAATAAGTGTAAAGAACAAATCACTGTAGAATGATGGAGGAAATTTTGTAGAAGAGAAAATAAAAAAATATGTTTGTATGTATTTTAACTGACAAACAGCTGATTCAGATCTTTGTGCTGCTGATTTCAGTCAAACAAAGAAACTGTTTCTAGTTGACATCAAGGCATTTCGGACATTTTAAAAAAAATTTTGAACAAATTTCAAGTTATTTGGTTTTCAAATGAAGCATTTTAATGTCAGATTGTATCTACATGGACTGTTTTCTATGAGCAGATCATTTTCAATAATATCTGAACTGATATTTAACTGTGAGAAACTAAAATCCTGATTTAGATTCTATGAACTGTGCAGCTAATGTTTCTCTCAAGTTCAAGTGAACAATAACAACAAACCCTGTTCAGTTAATTTAAAAAACTCCCTGAAATCAGACTAAATGATGTTCCATCAGACCTTCATTCACAGAAAATCTGCTTTATTTTGTGTTGAGCAGCAGAAACAGTTTGAGCCTGAGTGACTTCATTTTAAAACTAAACCTGAACTCAAGCAGGAACAAACCTCAAATCAACCTCTCCAAACCAACAGCAGCAATTCAATAAACTGTGAACCTGTCAGAGCTTAAAACACGACATCTGAGTTTCTTTATGAATAAATATATGTGAATAAATTATGAATCTGTTCCGTCTGTCGGTCAGTGAACTCATCGTTTTCTTTGTCGCTTTTCAACTTGAACTTGGTCGACTTTCCCAGGCTCCCCCCCATCACCTCTCCTCCCCCATCTCATCATTCAGACGACAAAGTCGCCCCCAGGCTCCCCCGGTACCCCCAAACACCACGACCACCTCCACCCTGATCCTGAACCTTGAACCTCCAGCAGCCTGCAGAGCTGAACCCTGCAGCTCCTCCATCACTCTGGTCCCAGCTGCTCTTTGAGAACATCATGTGGGAGGAGACACGAGACGACAGCAGGACCCCAAATAAAAAATCACGAATCCTCCCCCAGAACCTCGCCCTGAAACTCCTCCGTCTGCAGCGTGAATGAAACAATCAGCACAACAAAAGTGCAGCCAGACACAACAGACACAAAAACCTGCAAAACACTGCGACGCTGCAGCTGCTTCACTTCTGACGATCAAGTTCAAGTTCAAGAACATTCGGTCCTGAACTGTCTCTGCAGACAAACTAAAGCATCCATCTGTGGTTCCTCAGACTGCAGCTCAGTAAATCCTACTTCTACTTCTGAAGAACTTCAATTTAAAAATAATTCGGTTTGCATCAAACCTTGAGTTCAAACAGCTTTAAATTAAATTTGGTTCAACTCACAAACTTCTATGAGTTAATGAGGAATTAACTTTTCTTCTACAATCAACGGTTTGTTTAATAAACGGTTTGTTCAGACTTTAAAGTCTTTCTGAAGTCGATGTGAACAAAATTTCCGTTTTTAAGTTATTGCAATTTAAATTTAGTTTTGAAGCAGCTGCACAGAATTTTTTGTTTAAATTAGACCCAATATTAAGTTGATTCAACTTTATTATGTCTAAATATTTCAGTCGCTGAGGTTTTTCTGGACTAAGAAACTACATTTGTGATCTTTTAGGTCCGTTTTTAATCACGTGATGAGAACAGGCTCCTTATTACTGTTTAGTGTTCACTGACCCCGTTCTGGTTCTGGACCACAGCTGAGCTCAGTGCCACCGAAAGAGTCCATATAGATGCAGGTGTGGTTTAGAAAACAACAACAACAAAAAACAAACCAACACATTCATGTGTTCAGATTCAACATTCCACACATCTAAACCAGAACTGGATTCATTTCATTCAGACAGAACCTTGACTGGACAAATGTTCTCCAGGTTCTTTATTGTCAGAGTTTAACACTGGACTGAGAGAACCCAACAGAACCTCTGTGTGAAGGATTCTGAAACCAAACTGAGTCTCAGGATTGACTCAGTTTTCAGCTGCATCTTCTTGTTTCTGTCAAAACCAGATAAAAATATTTAAAAAAAAAAAAAAGAAAAAAAATGTAATTCCAACATTCTACATTAAATATCCTGGTCTGATGCCAGAACTCCAGTAAATCTAATTTACAGACATAAAGTTTCAAACATATTTTGATGGTTGATGTAATAATTTGCTGTTTGTACTTTAAACTCAAATTTCTGCATCAGTCGATTATTACAACAGTTGAAGATGATCAGTTGACAACTAATCGATTATTTTAATCATCAATGCAGCTTCACATCTTGGACATTTGTGCTTCCTTTACAGTCAGTCTATGTGTCGTTTTGTGTCTTTGTCGTCATGTCTGGTTGTGTTTATGCACTTCCTAAAGTCCAAGATAACAAATGTCTTGTTTTTTTCCCAGAGATATTCTGTTTACTGTCACAGAGGAGGAAAGGAACCAAAGAATATTCACACTAAAGAAGCTGCAATCACAGAATTTAGACTGTTTTTTATTGATAAAGGTATTGAGTTTACTTAATGAGTTAATACTTGATTACAAATCAATTACTGGTTGCACTTCTATTCTGTACCACAGCTGGCATCAACATCAGCCAACAAACACCAAAATCACATCTGCTTCGACTTTATTCTTACATATCAGAACTCAGTCAATCAATAATCAATGAGCAGGTTATCAGTCTGACACGTTTTAACTGCTGAACACAGAAAACAGTCTTTGAATTCCATGAAAACATCAGTAGAACTTCAGAAACATGAACACGTTTGAGCTTAACATTAAAACCTGAATCAACCTGATGTCAGATAAGTCAGGATCAGAGACTACGTTTCCCATGATGCCTGCAGAAGAGCCGTCTGTGTCACTTCTTCGATATTTGGCTGTTTTCAGAGCTGTGAAGTTCAGATGAAACAGAAAGCTGCAGATTCAGAGGACATGGAGGTGAAAATATTTGTAATATTTTCCGTGTTTAAACGCTGAATCTATTCAGCTGCTGCCATGTTTTAACTGAAGGGAAACTCAGAGCTCCAGGAATCTGTTCTTAGATCTCTGGTAGACCATCCACACACTGTAGGATCAGGTATTCAGATTGGTAGAAAACAAGAACTGAACTGTTCCTGCAGCTCAGGTACCAAAAAAAGATTCAAATAACAAAAAATAACCATAAAAATATCGTGATTTTTATGTTTACATGTAGTTTTTCAGTATGTAATGAAAGATATTTACATGTAAAAAAAAACATATAGAAACAGATTAGAAACATATAATCAGATAGATCTAATATAAATGTATTATAGAGATAAAAACTGTACTTTGACAGTTAATCAATGCTTATTAATTTAACTGATGACAACACATGTATTTAATATTTCTGCTATAAAAACTTCAGTAGTTATATCGGAAATCTCTCATTTAACAAACAGATCTGTGAAATTATAAAACCGATACCTTTTCTGTTTATTGTAACTAATTAATTTTAGCAGCATATTTACAGTGATATTGTGTTTCATCTAATAAAAGGAAAATATATATATATATATGAAAAATTTGTGTTTTAACTTCTTTCTCTTTTAACTTCTTGCCAAAATCTTTTTTCTTTGTGATGTTTTTTTTGTAATTTAAATAATATTTTTGTGTTTTTCTGTGAAAACATGTCAACTAAAGAGCAAAAACTACATAAAATTACAGATTTTTAACACCTAAAGCAGCAAATATTCTGTTAACCAACAAAGTGAAGATGGAGACTGAGGCCAGGACGACCTCATGAATCCTCCAGCGGATCAGCTGCTGGATGAAGCTGAACATCGTCTTCAGATTCAGGATTAAATATATTGCCTCCATCTGCGTCCTCATTACAAAGGCTGGAGGGGGGAGCTTCATTTAAAACAGCAGACTGACTGACCCCCCCATCCACGCTCCATTCTGACCTCTAAATCCCGTGAACGACCCCCCCTCCCCTCCTCCCAGGCTAAAGGTCATGAGACTGATATCGAACGTGAACTTCACGCTTTCAATGACACCATCGACCCCCCCAGAACAGAACAGAACAGAACAGAGCAGAACAGAACACAGTAAATCCTTCAGAAGCCTGAGAACCAGACTGAGGTCTCAGGCTAACCCACCACACACACCCCCCACCACCCACCACCCCACAGCAGGTCACATGTTTCCCTTCGTCCATACAATTACTCTAATTGGATCCAATTAAGAAGCTGCTCAGTCATTACAAACAGCTAATTAACCTACATAATCTGTTATCAGAGATCAATAATCTGATCAGACTGAAGGTATCTGCTGTGGATTTGTCCGTTTTCTGCATTCCTGGTTTAAAGTCTGATTTTTCAGCTGGTTCATTGGCTCACTTCATTGTTTTCACCCTCAGTTTGTTGTTTATGTTTCATAAACTCTGCTGCACCTGCCAGAATATTTACTTTCATGTCTAAACAAAAACAAATCTGTAATTTTATGGATTTTTTGCTTTTCATCTGATAGAATCTGAAAGAAAATATGTTGGTTTTATCTTTTTACAGATTTGTCTGTTAAATTACAGATTTCTTACATAATTACTAAAGTTTTTACAACAGAAATATTAAATACATGTTTTCATCAGTTAAATCATGTGATTATGTGTCAAAATACAGTTTTTATCTTCATAAATCATCTATTTTTACATGTACCTGATTATATAATTCTAATGTGATATTGTATATGATTTTGTAAGTCATTTAATAATTTATTTTTATCAAACATTGAAAAGCCACAATCACTCCAGATAAACTTGAATAAAACCTGCAGCTATCCTCATCTATTCATCTCTTTCCTACACTCACTTTATTCTGTTGGCTTCACAGCAGTGTTGGTACACATGATTCTGTGTAATATTAAGGCTAGTAACATTTAATATTATAAATGGATGTGTTCTTGTACGGTTATTTTCTGTTACTTGAAGCTTTTTTTGGTGTCTGAACTGCTGAAATATTTCAGTTTTTTTTTAATCCTGGATAGCAGCTTGATACTGCAGTGTCCACCTGGAGATCTCACAGATCTCAGTGAGCCATTATTATAGTTAGACTTTGTTTAAACTGTTGATGTTTGTAGTAATTTATTTAATTTTTGGATCTTATTTACTGACATTATCTGTTTTCACTGTGAGGCTCTTTGGACGTTTGTTTTTAAAGGGTTCTGTTTTAAATGTGTGAAAAACGGACTCGATGTAAATCATTAATGGAGACTGAGTTTCACACCAACAATGTTTTCAGGAAGAGAAACTCTCCATGAAAATCACACAAATGAATACGAATGAGGGACCTTCTGCTCTGTTCTCACACACACACCTTAGCTCAGGTAAATGTGACCTGAAATCATCAGAACAATATTTTTTCTGTGACTTAAGTCAAACCAGTACAACAGTGTGGGGTTCGTTAACAGGAGCAGCTCTGAGCCAATCAAACTACAGCATCTCCCACACAAACAAACAAACAAACAGCTGGGAGAGCAATAAAATCAGTAATAAAACTGATAGAAGCAGACATAAAGGATTCAGAAAAGTCTGAAGGGTGAAAGAATTAAAACAACAGCTCAGCAAAGTTCAGCTCTGAACCAACTAAACGCTTCCAAACTAACAAACAGTCTGTAAACAAATAAACAATAAACTGAGGAGAGAAGGAGGAACAATTGTAAGAAATAATGAATGATGGAAGAAAGAAGAAACAAATGAGAAAGAAAAGACTGAACCACAAAAGGTAGAAGAGGAAAGTTTAGATGGAGAGACCAAGTGAAGGAAAAAAGACATGAAAGAACAGAAATGGAATAAAAGCAAAAAAATAAAGAAAGGACGGCAGGAAGAGTCACAGAAAAGAGAGAAGAATAAAGATTAAGATGGAAAAGAAATAACTTGATTTAAATAAAGAGCCAGCAGCTGTTTGATCCTGCAAAACATTAAACAGTTTCATTTATTCCATGTTCATATTTCGGTGTTTTCAGTAAATCTTGCTGAGTTTTAAAATTGATATTAAGTGTTTAATCTGCTCTGAGGGATCAGAGATTATTTCAACAGCTTCATATCTGAATTTCACATTTTCTCAATGAGACTCTGGAACATCCTTCTGCAAACCACAAACTACCCAATATTAATCATGATGTTAATATTATTATCAATAATAATGATTAAATAAAGAGTGACAACAGACTACAAACAGAAAACAGCTTTAAAAACTAAATTCAAATGTGAAACATGCAATTGCAGCAGTTCTTTTGAACACTGACTGCAGTTTTAAATAGAATGTTGGTCAGACGTGTTCATAAAATAAAATTAATTTGTCTTTATTCTACTGTGTCACATTTCATGCATTTTATTTGTGATGTTGGATTCAAAGCTGTAGCTGGAATATGAGTTTATGTGAAGCCTCTCTAAATAATCACAGTCATGAAGTAAATATGAGAAGAGAGTCAGACCTGAGCAGCAGAGTCCCTCCAGCAGCAGCAGCAGCAGCAGCAGCTTCCAGCTCCACATCTTCTTCATCTTCAGTAAATCCAAATCATCAGAGACTCAAATATCCAGTCAGATTATAAAATTAATCCTCTGTTTCGTCTTCTGGTTCTTCAGTTTCTGCTTATTTTTCGTCTTCTTTTTTGTAAACTGAGACTCTGAGGATGCAGAAACACTCAGATGCTGCTCATACTGTTGGACTGATTCACACTGATGCTCACTGATGGAGCGGAGGGGCGGGGTCTCTGTCTGAGGGGGGCGGGGCCTGTGACTGATAGACCAGGGGGAGGGGGGAGGGGCTGACCCTGGGGTCGGGTGGTGTGTGTGGGGAGGGTCACCTGAGGTCAATGTGGAGCTGCTGGATTATAACGAAGAGGAATTATACAGAAAGATGGAGGATGGGAGCTGCTTTATGCTATAATGAATATTCCTATTAAATAGATAAATAGGACTTTATGAAATAAATCCTGAACTAAAGAAATTAAATCCTTTATTTATTTCAGAGAGTTTTTATTTTGCAATGACGCATTTATTTATTTCATAGGAATATTTATTTGTATGGCTTTATTGGATATTGAATAAACTGCGATCGAAAGGAGCGACTTTAGACAAGAATAAAATGATGAAAAAAACAGAAGATGGATTCAAAGAAAGAACAGAAGAATGACTAAAAGAGTGAGGGATGGATCAGAGGGACGACAAACAACAAAGAGAAGGAGGCAGAAGAAGCATTAACTGTGTGTAAATCTGACTGGACTCTGGTGTGTGCAGGCTGCTGTTCCACACTGTAACCTGCAGGGGGCAGCGGACCGCACACCGACACCACAGAAGAAGAAGAAGAAGCAGTGATGGCGCGGAGTGGGATGTAAACAAACAGGAGGTAAACAGTCCGGTAAAAACGGACAGAAACTCCTGTTAAAGGTCTGAAGAGATGATGATCCGGTGCGGAGGAAAACCCGATTTATCTGCGGAGCAAGGGACGGATTGAAGGTCAGAGAGACGATGATCAGACTGAGCTGCAACCGAAGAACACAGCTAACAACACTGAGCTAACTGAGCTACTAAAGCTGTATAACTAACTTAACAAATATAGCTAACAGTGTTACTATTACTAATAAAGCTATCTGAACTGAACTTACCAACAGAGCTAATATAACAGAGCAAATAGAGCCAAAGCGAATATACCGAACACAAGTGAACAAAGCTCACACATGATATTACTGTATAACTACCAGTTAATATAAGTGAAAATGCTAATATAGCTAATAGTTAATATAAGATCATTTAAAGAGCTAATAAGTGACAAAGTTAATATAATTACCAGAGTTGATGTCACTAACAAAGCCAATAAAGCTAATAAAACCTACGGCTGCTAATAAAACTAACAAAGCCAATGTAACTAAAGCGAGCTAACAGCTGCTAACAGAGCTAATAAAACTAACGAAGCTAACAGAGCTAACAGTCAATAACAGAGCCTTAGTTTGCTCCTTTCAGGTATCAACATAAACTCGGTGATCTAATTGCTAATAAACTGGTAAAGTTTGAACCCAGCACATCATTTTAACACAGTCACCTCCTCACAACTGATTTTATATAATATAATGACTCTGAATATTCTGTTCACTGAATGAACAAGATTTAGCACTCGGTTAATAAGTCGTGACTCAGTTTTGTGTTCAGACATCCTTTACTGGGTCTTAAAAAAGGTTGAGACCAGTGTCCTCACTAAAAACTGCTCCAACAGATTCAGTACATGTCAGGGAGTAAATGTTTCTGCACACCAGTGTCACCAACATACTTGAGGAGCTACAGCAGCTTTGATGTAACCCTGATACCTGAGAGAACACATCCACTGACTGCAAAACAGCAAAACGTAGATTCAGTTCATATAAATAAACCTTTAACATCAGATAAATACATTGAAAAAAAAAAAAACATTAATAAAATGTAATGACTTTACCTGGACAGGTATGGAGTCTCTTTATATTCCTTGTGTGTTTCTCATCAAGCAGAAACTAAAGTAGAGCATGCAAGGAGAACATGAGCTCACAGAGTCCAACAGAACAAAGGCAGCAGAGCAGCAGGTGCAGCTGCTCATCAAGGTGAGCAGCTGCACCTGTGGGGGGGCGTGGTCTCTACCAGGTACAGGTGAACTCACCTGGAGAGACAGCAGGAGGCAGCAACAGAGGAAATATCAGAGTCAGAGCGGAATAAAACCAAATCCAAAGTGGTTCTGATCCACTCACATTTCAGTGGATTAAAACCAGTGTGTTTGTATTTCACTGATGCAGAAATAGATGTTTCAGAATCAGCTGCTCCTGATCCAGTTAAAGACACAGTTGGTCATTTTCCTGGAAGCTAAACAGGACTTTGTGCCATTAAATCTGGGTTTAATCAAATCCATCTGTTGTTCCAGAGTGACTCAAGCAGAGCAGAACCTTCAGAACCACACAATCAGGATACTTCAATTAAATACATTTTCATAAAACAACAAATTGTAAAGTTTTACAAACTCTAAGAGGGCTGAAGAAGGTCTGTAGATTACTGTATTTACAAGGTGCAAAAAAAACAGTTCTGTCAAAGTCTGTGGGTTTCTGAGGAACATCTGAGATTCTGTTGTGTTCTATAGATTTAAAACAAATAGCAGAACTTTATAAATCAAAAATGTAAGACATATGTTTTCTTGTCTGTAGAAAAATCCATCCAACCTGACTGTACAGGGAACAGAGAATATCTTCTGCTGGTTCCTCAGTGTTTAGGTTTGAGTCAAAGATAAGAACCAGTTTAGGTTCTAAAGGGTATCATCAGAGTCCCTGGTGGAAAACATGATGCACTGGTTCTGTTCTACTTTAAAGAAGTGACACCTTCTGTGTGTTTCATGGTCTAGCACTGCTCTGATATGTTGGTGAGATAAATAAAGTTGTGTTCTGTTGGTTCTGTCAGGATCCAGATTCACCTGAGGCCTCTCTGATCTGGTCCTGGAGGGTCAGTTCTGATCTGGTCCGATCAGCAGCCATGATGGCGAGTCGTGGGCGGAGTCGGAGAACTCTGAGTTTCAGTGTGGACTCAGTCGGCATCAACAGAGGAGAACCTCTTCCTCCGACCCTGCAGCAGCCCACACCTGTGTTCCCTGTAAGACCCGTTCATATGTGTTCTCTGAACCTGTTCACATGTGTTCTATGAGTCAGCTGACACAGACAGGTGTGTGAAGGTGTGTCAGAAGTTACTGCAGTCAGTGATTCTGTGCAGACAGAAGCTGCTTTAAACTGACAGTCTTACTGAAAGTGAATAAAAACAGGCTGAAACATTGACTGCCCTGTTGTTGTCCAGGTGATGGAGCAGAAGCCCCTCCCCCTGACAGGTGGGGAGGAGGCCGAGTACCTGTTGGCTCTGAAACAGGACTTCAGAGGAGCCATGAGGAGTTTACCCTGTTTCATCCAGCCAGCTGCTGCACACAGAGGTCAGAGACACTCAGATGCAGCAGGGTGTAGAGCAGTTACTGTTTTAAAGTCTTATGTGGTGAATTATTGCAAACTGCAACAAAAAATCTACAGACATCCTGTGCTATATCCACACACACAACTACTAATCAGATCAATAACCAATATGTTCCAAGGAGATCAATCAGTTTATATGTGAAACATACACAGAAGGATTATTAACAATCAGTTGCTGTTCCTGTCCAGATGTGGAGCGTTACTCCGATAAATACCACAGCAGTGAGCAGACAGACGGCCTGATGGACTGGACTCCAGGTGAGACTCCACCCGACCAATACATCCTGATCAGTGATCTATACGTCCTGATCAGTGATAAATATGTTTTTGTTGTTGTTTCAGACTGGAAGAGGTTCCCCAGAGAGCTGAGGATCCACGTCAGGAAACCTGCCAAAGACAGTCAGTACTCTCAATGACCTGATTATGCTCAGTAATCTGATTACAGTGTCCGGTATGGTAACTGGACTCTGTGTGTGTTCAGGTGTGTCGGTTGCTCGCTCAGAGGCTCAGTCGACTCAGAAGAAGAAGAAAGTCAAAGAGAAGGAGGAAGTTCTGCTCAAACTGGAGGTGAGCCAGTTCAGCTGGTGGGATTTCCTAGAAACACTTGCAGGAATGTAGAACCTGAACAGGCAGCAGGTCCATCAGAACCTGTTCTGAGCAGAAGCAGAAACATTTCAGATTCTGCTTCCTCAAAAGAATGCAATTGTGTATAATTTCTATTTTCTGTAAAACACAAAACTAAATTCAGTAAACTGACGGGATGTATGTTTGTAAGTAAAAAATGGAAGATGCAAAGTGAAACTTAAACTCTTAAAGTAAAAACAATATTAAGTCACCGTTACTGTTTCTAAGTAAAGCTAATGATTCAGTCAAGTTCATGGTCATGTGTCAGTTTAAGTTTACAAGAAGAAGCTGTGTTTTTTAATGTTTTAGAGACAAACACAAAGTTGATGTTTTTACTAACAGTTGTAGGTAAATGTTTGACCTGTGAGACATTCAGACAAAGTTTCAGTTTTTGATTCTACTTTGATTATTGAAAGGTTTCCTGTTGTAAACTAATAAAGTGACTGAATGTTCAGGTTCCACACTTGTTTTTACAGCCAGTGAGGTCAGAGGACAGACGTAGAGAACCTGAGAATGGATGTTTGAGTTAATGAAGCTGTTTGTTGTTCAGACTCTGCAGAAGAAGGAGGAGCAGCAAAGTGAAGAGGACGAGGAGGATGCAGAGCAGAAGAAGAAGCAGGAGGATGAGGAAGCTGACGGAGACGAGGAGTACGACGAGGAGGAGTTCGAGGAGGTGATTTTACACATGACATGTGATGGATCAAACTGGGATGAAACCAGTCTGTATTGATCATTCAGGACTAACTGAAGGTTCTGTTCTGCAGGAAACTGACTACATCATGTCCTACTTCGACAACGGAGAAGACTTTGGAGGAGACAGTGACGACAACATGGACGAGGCTATTTACTGAAACACCAGCACATACACAGCTTCTGCCATCTCTGATGTGATCAGTCTGATCAGTTCTAAAGCATCCAGCTGCTGCTCTACATCGACCTGTTAGTGAAACAGAGACAGTTTGTAAGAAGAGCTGAGCTGATGAAGGTTTTATCTGAGCATATTTGAATGTTTTTAATGTTTTGTACAAATTTTGATCCGTTCCATCTTGTTCTGACAGAGTTTTGTTGGAATAAACAGCATCACTGAAAACTGTGTGAACAACATGATGTTTGAATCGAATCCATCTTCACAGTTGTGTCAGATTTCACTCAGTCTGCAGGAAAGTTTGGTCGTATTTCATAAAAGTCAGCTGCCGGTGAGAATCTTTAAAACAATGAAATGTCTTTGAATCTCCTGTAAAACTCTGATGCTCTCTCACTGTCTCACACGGAACTCTGCAGAAGTCATGAGGGTGTTCTCCAGACAGCTGAACATCAGTTACCATGGTGATGTGTAGAACTTAGACATAGAACTAGAGTAATTTCCAGTAACTGTCCTTATGTGTCATTTTTGGTTCTAATGTACCACCAAGTTCCTGCAGAACAATGGGCTGTTTTCTATTGCAGGGACCAGTTTTAGGACAGGCTCAGTGGTTAGCACTGTTGCCTCACAGCAAGAAGGTCACCGGTTCACGTCCCGGTGAAGACACCGGGATCTTTCTGCGTGGAGTTTGCATGTTCTCCCCGTGCAGCGTTGGTTCTCTCTGGGTTCTCTAGCTTACTCCCACAAGGTCCAAAAACATGTTGAGGTTAATTGGTGATTCTAAATTGTCCGTAGGTGTGAATGTGAGTGTGCTTGGTTGTCTGTCTCTAAGTGTAGCCCTGTGATAGACTGGTGACCTGTCCAGGGTGTCCCCTGCCTTCACCCTGAGTCAGCTGGGATAGACTCCAGCCCCCCGTGACCCTAGTGAGGATTAAGCTGTGTACAGATAATGGATGGAGTTTTAGGACAGCCTGAACTTTTGAGCATGCTCTGACCTCAAGAACCATCCCTGTAGAACCTTTTTGAGAAACTGTCTCAGTAGAACATCTCTGAGGAACCGTCCATCTAGAATGTTCTTGTAGAACCACTTTCAGGAAAGTCTTTAGAAAGTCGGAGACAACACTTGCTGATTGGTGGATCCTCTCCTTTTGTTTCATGTTTGGAGGATGTTTATTGGAGGAATATTCCATCTCCTTTACTTCCTGTGTGTTGTTGCCTTCTGCAATAGCTCAGAGCAGCTCACCTCCATCCACTGGTTCTACACATAGAACCTGCTTTACACAATCAGTAAATCTGACAGATTTCGCTAAATCATCTGGTGAAACATCCACGCATCAGTACAAAACTAACAGACAGAGGAAACACTACTGAAGTCAGCACAAGTCCGCCGTACGGCAGGAAGCTGCAGGTGAGAAGAGGCAGCCAATCACCTGTTGGCCAGCAGCTGAGCCACCAATCATAAGCTTGTACCTGCACACTCAGTCTGCATCCACACCCACACCTGGACAACACATCAGATCTGCACTGGACAGAACAGGACCAATTAGATGAAGAACAAAGATCTGCAGGATAAAGTCACTGATAATAAATGTTGAACCACAGCGGCAGCGCAACTGTCAGCTGAAATATCAGAAACTGAACCAAAGTTAATGACTTTTGGAAACTGTTGTGATGAAAATGAACAGAAACATTTCATCAGGCTGCCAAAAGGCTCAATGCAGATTCTGCAGTCAGATCAATAAAGAAGCAGGTTTCTCCTCTGCTGAATGTATTCTTACTGTGAATGGAAGCTCTGACTAAAGACTCTGTAAAGTTACAAAATGTCTCCAAACTGGTCAGACTGTTTTATTTACATCCATGCTGCTGCTGTTTTACTTGTCTTCACCTTCATCTGCATTTGTTCACAAAGTAAGAACCATCATCATATGTTTGGTTGTAGTTCGAATTCAACAGTTTACTAATACTTCACTGGAGACATTGTAACAGTTCACCTATTAATTCCGAGGTGACAGTGTCACAACGCTCTATATAAAGGAGACGGGCGGATCTATGCCTCAGCAGGGGTGAAAATCAGACACTTTCATACATTTGTTTTGGCTCAGAGCACAGCCTCTTACTTTACACACTTTACTTTTTTTACCTCCTTTGAATGACAGCTCCGGTCCTCGGCAACTCCGCGAAGCGGTCCGTCCTCCCGTTCCAACACCTTTAGTTATTCCAAGAAGTTCCAACAAGCAAAAATCCATACTCCGCGGCCAGGTAACTCCGGGAAACCTCCAAGTTGGCGTGTGTCGTCATCCCACTACGTGCCCCCGCGCGCGTGCACTGCACTCACCTAAATAGAGGTTCATGCAAAGCCACGCCCCCAACATACATTTGACTCAATAAACAACACCTGTGACCCCAGTGACAAAATCCATCTACACTATTTCACAGACAATCATAAGGCATCAATTCACCCCTGCTGGGTGCCTATGGAGTGAGGACAGACCGGGCCTTTACAACATTTAAAAAAAAAAAAAATGTTGTACCTTGTTTGAGGATTCTGTTTATGGCAAGAATGCCTGTAAGAAAACATTATTAGAAATATGCTGTCAATCTTTGCAATGATAGAATTATAAAGTCCCTCTATTTGTGTTAAATCAGGCTAGAATTAAGGTTGTAGACTGGCCTCCCCAAAGTCCTGACTTAAACCCCATCAAGATCCTGTGGACTGGGATGAAGAAACAAGTCAGGAAGAAAAGAACTTCAGATAACTTCAGTTCCAGAAATGACACCTGAGAAAGTGTACAGACGAAACAGTTCCGAGCTGCATTAGCCTGTGTGCTAACTGCTGTTAGCATCAGTTTGGTTATTAAAGAATAGCTTCACAGTCTACAACATGTTCCTTCACTGTTTAATTCTGTTTCCTCCATCACTAACTCAGGCCCTGTTGCAGGTTTTCCTCCTGTCTTGCAGTCTGATTCCTGCAGGGGGCGCTCTCACAGCTCCACATATAAGAGGCTCTTCACTGAGTTTTACTGAGGAACTTTCTACAGTGTTTATTACACAGAGTTTAAGTGTTCAGTATGAGCTGTTCTGCTGTGATTGGCTGCAGGTGAGCTCAGGTACAGCAGTAGGTGTCACTGTTTCCTAAGTCTAGCCCTGCTCAGTGTCTGCAGGCTACCTGACTCTCAGCTCCTGTTCCTGTCAGCTCAGATTTTCTAAATATGGCAGCAGGAAGAGGAATGGCAGCGCTGACTCAGACAGCAGATCACTCTGAACCAGTGACTGCTGGCCTCAGCCAATCACGCGCACACTGGGGGGACGTTTCTGGCCAATCAGAGCGTAGGACGGAGTTCTGTAGGTCCAAAGACAGAGAAGAAGAAAGAAGAGGAGCTGAAGATTGAGGTCATCTGAAAGTGCTGATGTGGAGGAGGAGTTATTGCTCCAATCTACAAAACACAACCCATTAAACCAGTAAAACCAGTATACAGGTTAAAAGCTGCCCCATATCCATTCATCCATCCATCCATCCATCCAATCTCCAAATACTGCTTAATTCTCACTAAGGTCACGGGGGTGGTGCTATCCGACCCAACTCAGGGTCAAGGCAGGGGTCACCCTGAACAGGTCACCAGTCTATCACAGGGCTACACAGATTGAGAGACAAACAAGCACATTTACATTTATGCCTACGGACAATTCAGAGTCAGCAATTAACCTCAGCATGTCTTTGGACTTTGGTAGAAAGCCGGAGAACATGATGGGAACCCACCGACAGGGAGGTGAATCAGGGAATGGCTCAATAGTAACTAGGTAAAAGAGAAGCTAGCAAATAACTAGGTGAAAGCTGGATGAGTGCTAATTACCTAAAAGATCTTCTAAAAGATAACTACCTAAAAGCTGGTTAAATGCTAACTAGCTTAAAGCTAATGAGCTAAAAGCTATCTTAACACTAACTAGCTAAAATAAAAGTCGCAAATAGCTGAATAAATATTAATTAGCCAAAAAATAAGCTAAAAGTTAATTGCCTAAAAACCGCTAAAAGCTAACTGGCTAAAAGCTAACTGGCTAAAAGCTAACTAGTTAAAAGCTAACAAGCCTAGCCTAGCAGTGTTGTTTTTGTGAGTTTCTGTGGTTAATCAGTTTTAGCTCATGGTTAGCTGATGGATAACTGATTGTTCAGATTCAGATTTGTTTATTTGCCATATGCAGGTTAACACACAGTCAACTATGCAGCAACTATGAGTTAACTGTTAGCTAACCATCAGCTAACAATGAGTAGCTGATGATTAGCTGATGGTTAAATGGTGGTTAGCAAACAGTTAACTGATGCTTAGCTGATGTTTAACTGATGGTTAGCTAATAGCTCCTGGTTAGCTGATAGTTTGCTGATGGTTAGTTCATAGGTGATGGTTAACTGATGGTTAGGTGATGGTTACCTGAATGCTAGCTGATGGTTAACTGATAATTGTTTGATGATTAGCTAAAGTTTTACTGCTGGTTAACTGCTGGTTAGCTGCTGGTTAGTTGGTTTAAATTGCGGCCCGTGACAGAAGAAGAAACAGAACCCGGTTACTTTATATTTTTAGAGACGCTGACATACTTCATGAAGTATGTCAGCGTCTCTGAACCTGCAGGTTCAGAGCTGTTTCTGTTTCAGCACAATAAGCTGCTACGATTTCACAGTTTTATGGATCAAAACAGAAACTAAATTCAGCTCCTGTTTTACTGCTTATAAGGCCAAGCATTGAAATATGTCTCTTTATACAAACACAAATTAGATATTAAAGTTCTATGATATTTATCCAGGCGTTTAATGGCAGATTGAAGTGTGTGTGTGTGTGTGTGTGTGTGTGTGTGTGTGTGTGTGTGTGTGTGTGCAGCTCCTGTGTTGTTATACTGACTGTGAACAGCTGCTGTTGAAGTAAACAACTGATCACGTTTCACTTAGACACATGCACACATTTGTTTCTGCAGTGACTTTGAGTCAAACTTGAACTTAAATCTGAATTTTATACCAAGTTCAAACACTTGTTAAAAACAAAACCCCATGAACAGTTTTTTCTTCTGAATGTTTCTGCTTTATTGAAACATTCAGACTTTCATGTTAGTCTGAAATCATTCAGACTGTTAACATGAAAGTCTGAATATTTTGGTTTTGTTGAAACATTCAGACTTTCATGTTAACAATCTGAAATTGTTCAGACCTTTTTAAATAAAACATAATTACTGAAACATGTCCTCCCCTTTTAAAGACCTAATCTATTTTTGAATTATCTGGAGCTGTAACTTTCTAAGAAGATGATTCTGAGAACGAATGTTGACTTCAGTGAGCAAATATAATTCGGATCCACCTGTTGAGCTCCAAAATAAACCAGACATCTCTGATGTCCAAAGACAGACTGAACTTCAACCCACTTCTGCTTCTTCATGTACAGCCACACTTACTTTAATCCCACATCGTACTTTGTGAACGTGACTCTGCAGTCAGCTGCCAAACCCTTGTTTATGGACTAAAAGTCATGTGCAGTGTCTTTAATAAAGTCGGCAAAAACTGTTTAAACACAGAGCTGAGCTGCTGTTAGATTCTTCCGAATGTAAGCCTGCAGACGTGTTTGACCCAGTTATTATAGGTGCTTTAAATAAACCTCTGCACAGTGACTGCAGCTGCTTGCACCCTCATGTACAGCCAATGTATATAGTATGTACAGTATATATAGTATATGCAATGTATATAGTATACACAGTGCATAAAGTATATACAATTTATATAGTATATGCAGTATAGTATATACAGTAAACAGCATGACGACGCACAGATTTAAGATCTAAAGATGTTTATTGGTGGAATAGAAAAATAAAAATCTTCTTTACAAAATATGTACAGATGTAACATCAGGATACTGCAGTAACAAAAAACAAAAAAACAATCAGAGTCAACAACGAATATAAAAAAACACTTTTCACAACAAACAATTTTTCTGTTGTCTTCTCAGCAACAAAGTACCAAAACAGGCTGCGTCACCACTAGAAAACTGCTGAGTCACTGACACAAAACTGCTGAGTCGCTGTTGTAGCTGAGCTTAGAGCTTTAGTCCTTGTTGGACAGGGAATGACCGACAGGTCAGAGGACCACATATGGAGCTCAGGCTCCGCCCCCAGGCTCTGCCCTCAGTCCCCTCATGGCGGACGTGTCCTCATCTAGTTGTCAACAGAACGTCCTCAGAACACCTTGACTGCCTGAGGATGGCTGACAGCGTCCTTGTCCACCTGACAACAAGAAGGACAATAAAGACAACAATCAGACAAAATATTCATCTTTAATCTCTAATCCAGATATCAGCACATCTCAGTGTCTCATTTCTTCTAATCTATTTCATCTCATTTAATGTTTCTGTTACTTTCTAAATCTCACGTTATCAGGTTTGAATCCTAAATTTATTTCATCTCACCATGTTTAATCCTGATTCATTTAATCTAACCTCGTTATTCTTGTAGAACTGTGACCTAATTCTGTCTCATTTCATTCAATCCAACATTTGCTGTCATCACGTCTTGCTTGTTTCTTTTCTTCTAGAGTTGTAATCTAATTCCATCTCAGTTCATTTTGTCTTATTTCTATCAATTTCCTTCATCTCGTTTTGAATCAATCTCATGCCATCAGGTCTTTTCTCATTTTAAGAGATACATTTTTTTGTTTTGTGTAACATCTCATCCTCCAATCAGACAGACTGAACCAAACTGGACCTGCACAAGGTGGATGTGCTCACCTCGCTGTAGGCGGGGGGAGGGGGGTAGTGGACCTCTGGTGCCCTCATGAAGATCCCACCCTCGTCATCATCGTCGCCATCATCGTAGTCGTGCAGCAGTGGCGTTCTGGGTCCGTCGACCCGCAGGTCTCTGTGGATGTTGCTGTAACTGGGAGGCGCCGAGGGGAAGGAGGACCAGCTGCTCATGGAACCGGCCTGGCTGCTCATGCTGCTGGTTCTGCTGCCAACACCGCTGAATGGGATGGTACCGATGACCAGCGGCAGCTCCAGAACCAGCTTCTCGCTGCCAGGGATGTGCAGGTAGATCTGAGGTGGCGGAGCTTCACGTTAACCTTGATTTAATTGATTTATTTCTTTGATATATTTGAACATTTTGTCAATCGTATGTCAGCTTGTTTTATTTCATCTCATCTGATATTTTCTTTATCTGATCTCAACTTATCTCAAAACTCTTTTTCATTTTATCTTTTTAGATCTCATTTGTTATTTCATCTAATGTCATCATAATAATTCAAACTTTTAATCTGATCTCATATCATCTGTTATGCTGTTTAACAAACTAATTACACACTAATTTTATTTCATTATATTTCAATTTACTTCATGTAATCCGATGTCATTTTGTCAATGTTATCTCGTATTTTATCTTTATTTTATCTAATTTTCATATTTTAACATTTGTTCAAACTTTGTTTATTTTATTCAGGTTCATTGACATCTGTCCCATCTGGATTATTTTGTTGTCATATTTGATCTGTTTATTTTTTTCTCCTGTCATCTTTTTTCATTGTATATCGACTTATTCAGACTAAATTTATCTTATTTTTAGCTCATCTTTTAACTCAGTATTTCACAGAATGTTATCTTGTATTTTATTTAATCTCATGTCAGTGAATTTTATTTTCTCTAAACTCATCTTTTATCGTATCAATGTTATTTCTTCTGTTATTTTCATTTTATCTCAAAATCAAATTTTTACCTTCTCTGACTTGAAACTGTCTTATGTATCCTGATGACATCATCTCTGACTCACCATGAGGGCGTAGTCCACCTTGATGATGTCACAGCCGAGAAGCGTGGGCTTCAGTTTAGGGACCCTGATGGTTTTTCCCTGCCACATGTCGCACATCCCGGAGATGATGTGGTTCCCTCTGACCGCTGACAGCTTCTGACGCAGAACCTGAACCACGAGAACCAGTAGAATCATTAGAACCAGAGCTCAGACCACCTCTGAAGCCTTGAAACCCTCAAGTGTTAAAGCGTGTCCGGGCTTACCTTGGTGCGTTCATCTACCACGTACGAGTGCTTGGCGATGATGGCGGCCTTTGGCACCACGATCCGCGAGCACGTGTTCTCGAACTTAGCATTGATGCTGATGTCTTCACCCTCACAGAACCCCTTCCTGTCTATCTTAGCCGTGATGGACACCTGACCATCAGGGATGAACATGCAGGTGACCTTCTTCTGTTTGGAGGCTGCAGCCGGAGCCTGAGGAGGAGAAGGAGAAAGAAGAAGAATGAATGAATGAATTTCTGTGACTGTGATGTTGAACTGAATCTGATCAGCTTCAATCTGCTGAAATTAACCTGCAGTTTTAAACTTAATCCTACTTTTATATGTTATGAATACAAACTCTGACTTTATATATTTGCATGTTTTCTGCTCTGATGTTTCTTTGTCTTTTACCTATTTTTAAATAAACTAATAAATATATTTTTACGAAGACAAACTGATCTTGTTAAAACTGCAACTGATCAGTGATTGGTGTATTTTCTTATTTAATGTGACATGCTGAAGCACCAGGGTGCAGGTTTGAGTACTGATCAGGTGTGTTCCGTACCAGCAGGTCGGCCTGGTTCACGTCCAGCGGCTCCTCCACCTCAAACTCCTTCTCACACTGTAAAACATTCTGGGAAGGCCTCTGAAGCTCCGCCCTCACGTAGTAACGCACTGAGCCCAACTTTCCTTTGTAGGATGAAACCAGACGCCTGCAAGCAGAGCATAGCAGCGTTAGCGGGGCCATCGAAAATTGATCAATAACTGATCAATAAGTGGCTGATAACTGATCAGATGTCAGTCTCACCCTGGCGCCGGGAGCTCGAAGCCGAACTGGAAGCTGTAGGTTTTGTCAGCCGGCAGCAGGAAGCAGCCGTCAGCATCTGAAACAGCAAAATTGGAATTTAACCACAACCTCTTTAATAATAAAACTTCCTGTTTCTGCTTCATCCTTGTTTTTTTGGGGTTTTTTTTTACAGTGATTCTGAGTTTCCTTGTCATCGACACATCAAAAGATAATGTTTGAACGCAACACCTGTATTTATCTTTATTATTAACACTGACTTCAAGTCCAGTGAATACAGTTAGACAGAGTTCCATCAATCATTCAACAATTGTGTTTTGCAGGAAAATGTTTCAGTTTGCTTCAACCTGCTGAAATGAGGCTGCAGTTCAGATTCACATGTTGTAACCACTGAGGTGTTCTCTTTGAAATCCACACCAGTGCTGTGTGAACCAATCAGAAGTGAGCTCAGTGTCTGTTATGTAACACCAGGTGCCTTGAGCTCAGCTTGTATTATGACTGTCTGTTTAAAACTGCAGAAAATTCATCTGCAGCTTTCTGAAAATAACATGAATCAGTTTTTCTTTGCAGGCTGTGACAGTAAAGTGAGTATTTTGGGTCTCAAACTTTCAAAATCACGTTTAAATAAGTTATAGTGGCAGTAAAAGAGCTAAGTAAAGAACAAATGAATCAGTGATGAAGATACAGTTGATCTGCAGCTCATGTTCTGTTTTTAATCAACATTTAATTAGTGAAACACAGATTAGATTTCAGGACTTTAATTGATGTTCACCCGCAGACGATTCTTTTTTTTTGTCTAATTAATAAAACTGTTTTCCTAACGTAACTGATTCAGTTATTGATGGGTCAGATTAAACAATACCTCCCACTGCAGGTATTTGTGCTCTCGGTGAGCCTCACCTGTGCTCAGCTCCTCCTCCAGCCGCAGCTCCTCCTCATACTTCAGGTATTCCACCTCCTGACTGCGGCCCCTTCGGTTCTTCCCGCCGCGCTGTTCGACGCGGGCGCAGCCGGCGGCGGTGACCCTGAGGCCGGTGAGCCTGCAGGGCTGCGCCGCCTGTAGCTGCACGGAGCCGCTTAGTTTGTCCCCGCTGCTGTAGAAGGAGCGTCCGGGATCAGAGAACTGCAGCTGGAAGAGCCGCAGCTTGGAGCCCGCTGACAGGACCATGACCCGATTAGTATTGTCAATATATTAGAATGAATTAGTGCTAATGAGGTCTGATTCGATGACTACACTGCTGCTACTGATTCACCAGCTTCTGTCGGTAAACAGAGGGGCCGGTTTTATACCGGAGAGACCCGGTGTGTCTCCGTGTGTGTGTGTTACTGTGTGTCCGGTGTCCCGTTACTTCCACACCGAGCAGCACATGCACACAGCGTGGACAAGCCGGGCCCTCGCAGGACGGAGCTCTGTGAGTGGTCAGGTCCAGGTGTGAGCCAATCAGAGGGCAGGGACGACGCGTGGACAGGTAGTGCAGTGGAGGGGGGCGGAGCCTAAAACTGGGAGCCATAAATGAAGACCAGAGTCAATAGAGTGAGAATAGAAACATATTTATGCACACACAAAACACACACACACACACACACACGGCAGACACGTAACTACAGTAAACAGACAACACACACAACAGACACAAATACTTTAAACACACAAAGACACACTGAGCAGCTGTCAGAAAACAACCTCCATGTTTAGAACTGAGTCCAGTCTGTGATTCTCCTCACACCTTTGACCACTGTTACTGTTACTGTTGTTTATACTAAAAATACCACAATGACTGGGGACCTTCAAAATCACAAAGTCTTTGTTTTCCCCCACAGCATCAGTTTTGTGACTAGAAACCAGCTTCCTACTGATTTACACTGCAGAGTTTTAAATCTGAGCGTTAATCCAGTCTAAATCCAAACTTTAATTCAGTTTAAATTTTAGTCTAATTCCCATTTCAATTTGAGCTTTAATCACATTTGAAGTGAGCTCTATTCCAGTTTCAATTTGAGCATTAATCCAGTTTAAACTAGTTTTAATCTTAGTTAAAACTGAGCTGTAATCAAGTTTAAATCCGGTTTTTAATTCAGTTTCAATCTAAATTTCAATCCACTTTGAATCTGTTTTTATATAGATTAAGTGTGAGCTTTTATCCAGTTTAAAGCCAAGCTTTAATCCAGTTAACATCTGAGTTTTAAATAGAGTTTTATTCCAGTTTCAATTTGAGCTTTAATCCAGTTTAAATCAGTTTTCATATTGTTTAAATTCACTACTGGTGTTGAAAAATCCACCCATGGCTGATATCTGATGTCTGAGTTACTGAGTCTGTAAAACCACATAACAAATAAATATTCAGTTATACTGTGCAGAGAAAAAGGACACAAAGCTAGTTGCTGTAAAAGCTAATTGGCTAAAAAAGATAGCTAAATGTTTACTAGCTAACAGGTAACTAGCTATAAAGGGTAGCTAGCTGATAACTAGCTTTATGAGGTAGCTGAACACTAACAGGCTATAAAAGTAAGCAAAAAGCTAAAGCTAACGTTCCTTTCAGAGCAGCCTGTTAGTGCAGTGTGTTTATTGTGAGTTTATAGTCTAGTTTAACTGTCAGGCTTTAATGATGGTTAATGATGGTTAACTGAGTAAAGTGTGTGCTCGCCATAAACAGAGCAGAAGAGTTTGTAAGTTTCAGATGTTTCAGGATGATCAATAAAAGTTTTAAGCTGATTAGTGATTATTGATTTGTTAAAGATTCTAATCTAAACTTCAAACCAGTGAACTTCCTGCTGTGTTTTTTTTTATTTTATTTTATTTTATTTTATTTTTATGAGGTTCTGACTTTAAAAATGAGCTCTCCTTCGCTCACTTGCTGCTTCACATCATGGTGGTTTCTTTGAACCCAGTTTAAATCTAATGCATCAGAACTGTTTGTCTCACAGGTGAGTGCAGTCAGGTGTTCAGAACCAGAGCCAATCAGGTTCAGTCAGTGATACGATACAATCAGGGATCCAAACTGTATCCAGGAAAAGTGAAATAAACCTGTTTCATGGATGTGGTGTTCAGCTGCATGTTTGTGGGAAAACTGTAACAGAGTGTTTGTACTCTGTGTTATTGACGCTTTTAGTGTAACAAAGTATAATGATGAGGATTTTTAGGTTTACAAGGTTCTCAGTCGGCTCTTCAGGAACCTTTGTGGGCCTGCGGGGCCTTCTGAAGGGCCCCCGCAGATCCCAGGACCTCAGTTGGAGCCCCAGCTGTGGTGCAGGCTGCCCCCTGCTGGACAGAAGTTGATACCTGATTTCTAAAATACAGTGAAGTGGAATACTGGCAGCTGATTGGCTGAGTTTGTTCAGGTGAGCAGGCTGATAGTTCTCAGGTGGACTGGGACACCTGAAGCTCTGCCCTTTTTCTACTGTGACACCGGGAGGATGAAGCACCTCAGAATGAGAACAGTTTATTCTGATCTAATTTTAAAAAAAAAAAAAAAAAACAAAAACAGAAAAACAACAACAACTGCTGAACACAGTTATTGTAGCAATAGCAGCAGCTCTGACAGTAACCTGCTGCTGAAACACTGGTGGTAGAAAAATATGCCGAAACACCAAAGAATATTTAGAAAGAGTAATAAAACCTCCCTCATACTTTCTAAAAAATGTCCCAAAAGTTGTAATAAAACACGGTAAAGAAAATAAACACAAATGTCTAAAATATGGATAAAAAGTCCAATAAATGCTAAGATAAATGTATAAAGTGGGAATAAAGGACTGTGAAATAGCTCCAACCTGCTACTAACACACTGACGGGTAATAATCTGATCATATGTCAGTCAGAGAAATTAACCAAATTTTTACTGATGTAGGAGTTTAATGCTGCAGTTGGATATTTTTACTTTGCTGTATTTAACTGAAGTAGAGCATCTGAATATTCGTTTTACCTCTGATCAACAATCACGTGTGTACTGTGTAAAACAGTCTGACCTGAACGGATCAATCAGTCAGCTGCTTTAAAACCAAAAGTCAGTTTTGTTTGTGATGTTCAGTGATTATTGACTCACCAGCTGCTGATGTTCAGTCTGAATCCAGTGGAACCTGAATCTGAAAACAGAACAAAGAAGCTGCAGCATCTGAAGCTGTTCAGATGTTCCTCTGTTAGCTATTGGAGGCTGCTCTCAGGTGTGGTTCTGCCACCTGCTGGATATTTAGAGCTCTGCGCTGAACTTTACTGAAAAAAAACATCACAGCTAGAATTGTTTTGGTTTTAAAACAATCTGAGAAAGTGCTGCAAGGTTCTAGTAATGTTTTTATCAGGAAGCTTTCTTTTAGTTCCCAGAATGTTCTCTTTTAAAGGCCGAATAAAGTTCCTAAAAAACATTAAAAAATGAAATTCAAATGTTCAAAAAACATTTTTAAAATGTTGCAATGAGAATGTCCTTACTTTGTTATCATGTAACACCATGAGAATATTTTATAGAAGAATGTTCTACAGCAACATCTCCGGAACATCCTCAGAACATTACAGGATGAATGTTCCACCTTTGGTAATATATCACATGATCGGAACAATCTGTCTTCTGAGGCTTTGATAACATCTTGAAAACATTTTTCTGAATCTTGGTTTGAGGACGTTCTTCTTTTGTTCTCATGGAACATAATCTGACAAGATCCTCCAAACATCCTTTGAATGTTAAAACATTCTGTGTCAGTTCACTTTTACCTTCATGGAGATATTACACTGTAAAATAAATCCTGTAAAAACTATTAAGATCTGACAGAAGAAATAGATTAACCAGTGGAATGTTCAAAAACTGTGAGAGTAACCTAAAATATCTGTAAAATAAAGTGTTTTTTAAAAATATTTAACTACAATGAAACTGTCCAACTGTATTTTCACACATTGTTAAAGAAATCATTTATTACATTACAGATTATTGGTGTGAATGTTATTTAGTTTTGGCCTGTTTTTGATTGTTTGTTTTTTACCATTACCTATTAAATTTAAAAAAAAATAATAATCAGCTGTTTTACTGGTTATCATCTGCAATTTCCCAAAACAGGAAAAATCAGTAAAATTGTTAAAGAAATTTTTATCAAGCTAAAAACAGTTTTTTTTCCCCAGTGTGCATGAAATGAGAATTATCCTTAAAACTTTCTTTCAAAATTTGATTAGAATATTTTCCTTAAATCATTATTAGAACTTGTAAATAATCTGAGCCAACATTGTGGGAACGTTCCCTGCTCCACTGTTTCAGTCTGAAACACTCACACCTACCAGAACCAGAACCATGAAACACAGCAGAGAGTGGACCTGTAGAACCTGTTTGATCGGTGCTTTTATTACAGGTGGGCAGCAGGTAAAACACATGTTCCTGCAGCTGGATATTAAAACCAAATTAAACCCAGATTAACCAACCTGATCAGCAGCTGTGTTTGTTCAGAAGCATGAAGGCAGCAGAGAAACAAGCTGGAGGCTTTACCCTGTTGCTATGACAACAGGTTCAGATGGTCAACACGCAGAAACATCAGGATGCTGCTGATTTCTCAGTAAAACCAACTTCTGGTGTTTTTAAACATCCGAAACAGTTCAAACAAACCTCCCAGATCAGTTAAAGGAAAAGTCACTCAGAGTCTGAACACTGCTGTTCTTATCTCAGATTAAAGAGGAGACAGTCAGGACGTCTCCACGTGTTCCTCAGAGAACCTGATGTTCTTCTGTATGTTGGAGAACGCTGATCTCCTCCAACACTCAGGCAGCATCAGTAACAACTCTCAGTCTGTTCGTCTGTACAGCAGCTGGACAGACGTTCTCCTGATTAACTCCGACCTCCAGATTCATCCACTGTCATCTGTTCTGCTTCTCATCAAACCTGCAGGTAGACATCAGAAGAACCAGAACATCAGCTCACTATGGGAACAAAAGCTGAGGAGCTGAAACCAACACAACTGTCTGCTGCAGAACTCTTCCTACATCCAGTCACAGTTATCATGCCAACAAATAAACCAGGAAACGTGAACGTTCTCCTGCAGCTCAACTGATCTGAAATAAAATCCAGACTCTTATTCTGACACTCAGAACAAAGTAGCATCAAGTTCTAAACACAAGGTTCAGCAAAAATTTAACCAAAATATCAACGTGAAATAAAACAGAACCTGTAGAACCATGACAGATAAAGGCAGCGATCAGTGGAGTTACAGCAGACTTACAACAGAGTAAAAGCAGAGTTAGTGTTCTTACTGGTGGGTTCCTCAGAGCTTCAGTAGAATGAAATTGGACTTTTTGGTTCTGAAGATGGTTCACTTTGACTCATCTGCTTCAGTTCTAACTGACTGGTGGGGAGTTCCAGTATTTACTGCAAACTCAAATGACTCATGGCCCATTAACAATCCAAAGCTCACGTGACTTGTTAATGTTTGTGAAAGATGCTGCTCCAGTTGATGTTTTCCTTCACTCTTCTCTTAAACTATCTCCTCTTTCCAGAATGTGGACTTTACTGTCCATCACCACTATTACAAGTTAGGTAATCCCTCACACGGCAGTTTCACAACCACACACATGGCAGTTTGAAGACTATTTACAAGTTGAGTCATCACACACATTGCCGTTTCACCACCATTTATGCCTTCAGTCATGTAGTTTTTCTGCCATTACCACCTTCGGTTATCCATTACCTGGCAGTGTAGTCATCATCAACACTTTCAGTTGTCCCTCATCTGATAGTGTTAGCACTAATTACACCTTCAGTCAGCCATCACCTGGCAGTTTCACAACAATTACACCTTCAGTCAGTCATCACCTGGCAGTTTCACACCATGAGTCATGTGATTTAAGAATGACAGGACTCATGAGCGTGAGAATAAATACCTGGGACTCCTTATCAGGCAGAACTGAGGAGCTTCCTGAATGGCGTTGAAGTTTCTTCTAGCACTTACAATAGAAGTCCAGTTAAGTTCTGCAGCTCTGAGGATCACAGTGAACTTCAGGACTTACTGTCGGATGGCGTCTGGAATCTGTAGTCGGTCTGTGGGGATCAATTCGGAGAGCTGCTGTAGACTCTGAACGAAGCGGATCTTCCTGCTGAACTTCTCGCTGTGGACACAGTGTTGCTATTGTGATTCTGTGTCTCTGTTGGTGTGTGTGTTTGTGTGTGTGTGTGTGTGTGTGTGTGTGTGTGTGTGTGCATGTGTGTGTTCAGACCTGATGAAAGGTTTCACCACAGTGATCAGAGCTTTAATGTACCAGGCAGGATGGACGACTAGCAGCCCCTTCAGGTCCTTCTTCAACCTAACAGACAGACAGGTAGGGTAGACAGACAGAATGACCCCTCTGTTGCCATGAAAACAAGGTGCACTCTATCCTTAAAAGTGCTGGCTCTGCCCCTCAGGGCTGTCCAGGTGAGTGAACCTAGCGTACCTCCTGTCAATGGAGGTGTAGCAGTTGTGAAGCCATTTCATGGCTGGCAATTTGTTCCTGGGAGCCATGGCACACAAGTAGACCAGCAGGTAGTTCTCCGACACCATCAGGTCCAACGTTCCCACAATGTACCTGCAGGTAAACAAGTACACTGTTACACCTGTGCCAGGTGTTTACCAGGTGTTCATGTAATGCTCATACTTCATTCCTGTTTACAGATCCAGACTCACCTGAACAGGTTGTCCATGACGTACTCGTAGTCCTCCACTGTGTTCTCTGGCAGGTAACAGGAAGTGAACAGGATGATGGCGTTCATACCGTCCCCATAATAACCTGATGACCAATCACATACAGAGGAGCCACACTTTGCCTTCAGATTCCACCAGACAAACAAGTCATGCTTACAGTGACACAGCTGCACAGCACATATGACCTCTCTCTGCTGTGTGTCATGTGTGTTACAGGTAAGTTTCAGGTGCATTTCAGGTGTGTCTTTCATACATTTTAGGTGTGTTTCAGGTCTGTCATAGATGTTTTCCAGGTGTGTTCCAGGTGCGTTTTAGGTGTGTTTTAGGTGCGTTTTAGGTGTGTTTTAGTGTGTTTCAGGCAAGTTTAAGGGTTTTTTTTTCCAGTCTGTTTTAGGTGTGTTTCGGGTCTGTTATTTTTCAGGTGTGTTTTTAATCTCTGACCTCCGTGTGACAGGACCTGCAGGTACGGCTCCAGGACACTCATGTTGACGTGGTACTCATGTCCAGCGATGCAGAACCTTCTCCAGCGGCGCCCCTTGCTGTCCACCTGATCTAGCTCCATTAGACCCTCAGATGACACAGTTGGGCTTGTGGCCACGCCCATGGCCCCGCCCCTGCCCCTCCCCATGCGAGGCAGGTCATCTGTTAGACAGAGGTCAGATGTCAGGTATCAGACTGGTAAATTCTCGTCTCTAGGAAGTTTATGTCACACCTTCCCACTCCAGGTCAGGGTTGCTGTCAGGCAGCGTTCCCGTCTCGCTGTCCGACGGTGTCTCCAGAGCTTCCAGGTTGATGTCGAGAGATGGCGTCTCATCTGGTGTTGCAGACAGTGCTGCTGCTGAAAAGCTGTCATTCAGGTCGTGAGAGTCGCGGCCGCTCAAAGTGAGACTGAGAGATGGAGCCACCAGACGCTTCTTTGCCACGCCCCCGACGGTACCTGATAGGGCAAGGCTGGTGGGCGGGGCTAAGGTGAGAACAGGGGGCAGGGAAGGAAACACAGAGTTAAGAGTGAGCTATATAGCTAAACGTTTTCTTTTTTTCTTTTCAGTGATTCTAACTAAAACAAAGTTGTAAAACAGGAACTCTATTTTCACCTGGTGCTCTGGCATCCCTTTCTGGACTCTCGACATCCTCCGGACTCCCACAGTCCTCTGGTAGTGGTCTGAACCATCAACACCAAACACCGAACCAGAGAGATAAAAAATATGAGGGTCATTTTGAAGGACTCTTCTGTCTATTAAACACAGATGTTTGTTAGCATTTATCAGTGTTGACATCTGTTAGCTTCGGTTAGCATCAAACAGGGTTAAAGTCTATTAGCATCATACAGTGTCGGTTAGCATCTGTCAGTGTTAGCATCTGTTGGCCCCTGTTAGCATCCATTAATATTAGCATCAGTTAGCATGTTACTGTCTATTAGCATCTATCGCTCCATATCCATCAGAGTTACCCTCTGTTGGCATCTATTAGCTTTCATCAGTACTACCTTCTGTTAGTGTTACTGTCTATTAGCATTTATTAGCGTCAATGAATGTTATGTCTGCTAGCATCTTTTAGTGTCTGTTAGCATTCTTCTGTGTTAGCCTCTGTTAACATCTGTCAGTATGGATTAGCATCCATTAATTTCTGTCAGTATTAGTCAGCATCAGTTAGCGTCAGTGTTAGTCAAGTTAGCCTCCATCTGCTGTTCCTCTGTCTCTGTTTAGCAATGTGTTACAGAGGAAGCTTAGAGGTGAATTCTAACTATCAGTGTCAGTATCACTATACTCATATAACTGTCAGGGTCACTTAGCATATGTTAGCACTGATTAGTCTCTGGAAGGATCAATGTCTGTATGAGTAAGTATCAGTTAAAAACTGCCAGTATGAAATAGCATTTGTTAGGATTGGTTAAGCATCCGTCAGTTTTAGCATCAGTTTCCCTCTGTTAGCATCCATCAGTGTCAGTTAGCCACTGTCAGTATCAGTAATCATCTTTTTGCTGTGGTTGGCCTCTGTAAGTTTCCATCAGTGTCAGTATTGGATAGTACCAGTTGGCCGCTGTAAATGCCTTTTGGCAGCAGTTAGCATCTGTCAGTATCATTTAGCATCAGTTATCCTCTGTTAGCATTTCTTAACATTTGTTAGCATCCATCAGTTAACGTCAGTGCTAGCATTACTTAGCCACAATTAGCCTCTATCAGTATGTTTTCAGCAGTGTGTTTCAGGTAAAGCTGACAGGTGATGTCTGACTTTAGCTGCCAGAGAAGGCCTGACCTGGGGAAGCCATCGTCCTGCCACTCCTCCCTCAGCTCCATGTCCTGGATGTTGTTTGGCTCTGCGGCTCCTGGAGCAGCTCTGTAGGAATCAAACACAAGCAACATCTCTGAATGAAATCTTTTCTCAGATTGAACGATAACATCTGAATGTTTTAGCACCTGATCCGGTTTGTGTACACAGTGACAGGCCACACAGGAGAAAATTGGTAAAAAAAAAAATATATATATGGATATAGACTAAACAATATATACAGAAAATGTGCAACAATATTTACAACTGAGAATAAAGGTTTGAATATGAAAACACTACAGTAAACAGATTGAAATATAAAGTGACTGTCGTGTGGTTGTTGTGACGTATAAATGTGTGAGTATTGAGTTTGCGTATGTCTTTTCTTCTGCAAGTTTAAGTGCTCATAATTACAAATAAAATAAAGAACATGAAGAGCTAAAAACTAAAACTAAAAACTGACTGATTTATTTCAGTCAGCAGAACAAAGTGATGTCTTCAAACATCAGATAATCTGAATACAGTTGAACTTCAAGAGTCTATAAATTCATTGAATAGCAGCAACGTCACTGATTTCAGAACAAAATCTGTGAAGGAAGCCAAACATCAGGTTTACAGTTTAGAGATTCATCAGCCCGACGTCATCTGGTGAAGTTGTTTATTATAACAGGTGGAACCACATTGAGAGGACAGGACAGTGTGTTCAGGGACACTCTGGACTCCTGACAATCAGCTGCTGTTTGACGTTGACTCCAGATTTAAAGCTTCTCAGTTTTTGTCTCCATTTCAGGTGAAACTAGAATCAGGACTTTGATCTGCCGCAGTTTGTTGCTGTTTTAATCACTGAGTATTCAGGTCCAGCACTGTAGTAAAAGTACTACCAGAAACAGTCGAGTAATGTCATTGAAAGCACTCATTGTCACTTTTTCAGCTGTAAAACTTGTTGATGTCATGTGGATGTATTGACCGGCAGCAACTGATCAATATTTTTTTTTTAATCAATCCGCTGATTAGTTTTTGATTAACAGACCTGTTTAGTTGGTAAATGTATGAAAATAAACCTGACAAAGCCACAGATCTCCTCAGCGACGCCTGTATAACACTTGCCACACACAGCTGTCAGCTCACTCTCAAATCAGACTCCATTCACTTTTCTGTCATTTTAAGCTTCTTCTTGGTTTTCCTGTTAAACGGAAAGGTGCAGTCAGGTGATTCTCACCTGTCAGGTCTGGCAGGTAACACTCCTCAGTTCGGCATGTTAGTCTGGAGAACGTCGCGTCGTTCTCTGAAAATCTATATCTGATCAGACTAAACAAACCTGCTCACTCAGACTGACGCACCTGAGCAGGTGAGGGGGGGCGGGGCTCTATTGTACCTCTGTTTGTTGTTGTTGAGAGGAGACACCCAGCCAGGTAACCACACCCGTGTATATGTGTTTGTCTGCAGGTCACAGGTGACGGAGATCAGGTGTGCAGCAGAAAGTGGGTGGTCCTCTTCAGGTGAGGGCTCTCATGTTTCCACTGTGTTGCCTTCATTGCCTGGCTGGGAAAAACCAACACTAAACATCCAGCCAGGAGAATGAGCCAGACTGGTCTGTGCAGGTGTGCTTACTTAGTGGGCTCCAGGGGTCCCTGATGAAGTTCTGCATAAAATGAAGAAGGTTCTGGAGGAAAGTCCAGGGTTCTAAATGAGATTATCACGAATACTTGAGGAGACTGCACCTGTGTTTGAGGAGGTTCCAGCGTTCCTAAGACGATCCCAATGTTACTTGAGAGGTGTTCTAAGGAGGTTCTAAGACTCTTGACACAGGCTTAGGGTTTCTTCCGGAGGTTCCAGGGTTCTTGATGGATTTTTCAGGGGTACTTGAAAAGGCTGCAATAGTGTTTGAAGAGGTTTCAGGTGTTTTTGAGGAGGTTCCAGGGTCGTTGAAAGAGTTCCAGGGTTCCTAAGCAGGTCGACAGTTTACCCGAGGAGGTTCGAAGACTCTTTCAGGAAGGCTAATGGGTGTGGGAGGTTCCAGATGCTTGCGGAGGTTTTAAATAAAACAAAGAAGGTTCCTGAAGAACCTTTAGGGTTCTTGAGGGGTTTCCATGGTTTCCTGAGGCAGCACCAGATTGGTGGAATGGGTTCAAGGGTTCTTAGGAGGGTCCAAATTTTACCTGAGAGGAATTTGGGTGTTATAAGGAGGTTCTATGACTCTTTAGATGGGCTTTGTGTCTGGATGAGGTTTCAGGGTTTTTTAAGTTTTTGAAGGGTTCCTAAGAGAGAGTAAAGTTTACCTGAGAGGAATGCAGGAGTTCTAAGGAGGTTCTAACATACTTGACACGTTCTTGGGGTATCTGTAAGATGTTCAGCTGTTCTTAGTGCGGTTTCCATAAGTACTTATGGAGGTTCCAAGAGTCCTTAAAAAGCTGCAATTGAGGTTGAAGAGGGAAAAAGTGATTTTGAAGGGAACCCTGGGTACTTGAAGGGAGTCATGGTTTCCTGAGGAACTTCAAGAGGTCCTATGAGTGCTTAAAGGGGTTCCTCATGAGGCATCAGATATACTGAAGTAGCATCTTGAGGTATTTTCAGGTTTGTTGATTTCCATTCTTGGTATAGCATAAGCATTTGATGAGATTGAAATGGCGTTTGAAGAGCTTCCAGGTTGCTTGAAATGTTTTCAGGGTTCCAAGTGTTACCTGAGAGTAGTTCAGATGTTCTAAAGAGGTTCTCTTTTAGGGAGTTCAACTTCTCTTTAAGAGATTCCAGGTTCGTGAGGAACCTCCAGGGTTCTTGCAGGGTTTCCATGAGTTCTCGAGGCAACTTAGCAACATGGCAGTGAAAGCATTATGGCGATGCCTTCACTGACCCTCAGGCGGAACCAATGTCAGCATCAAAAACACAGACAGAAGTTCCTGTTTTTACAGGAACAGGAAACACAGACATGCACATGCGCACACACATACACACACACACACACACACAGATACTCGATCCGTTTGGTTCTAAATATTTAACGTACCTGTTGTCTGTATGTCCACCCGTGTCCTCAGCAGTGGAGCTCATGATGGCACAGTGACGTCACGGCGTGTTCTGACCGGCACCTATGACCTGCTGGATGTCTGCCTGTGTGTTTCCTCTCTCTCTCTCTCTCTCTCTCTCTCTGAGCTTCACTCTGACTCTATGGGACTCACTCGCCCTGTCTGTCTGCATTTCACAGCAGAGCTGCCGTCTCATTGGTCAATGCTCACCTGCTCTGTGCAGACAGGTGAGGGACAAAGGAGCTGCAGTCTGACTTCATTAAGATCAACCAATCAGCTGCACAGGTTATTTAAAGTAAGAGGAAGACGCAGGAGCCCTCAGGATCCTAAAGCCTGCCGTCTCCAGTTTGATGCAAACAGATTGTTTTGTTTTTTTTAAACGACCAGCAAACATGAGTAAAGAAAGTAAATGTTTCTGAGCTGCAAGTTGGAAATAGACAATAAAATCAGTTGTTTGTTCAACTTTAATAATCAGAAGTCAAATATTTGTCTTTATTATAATCACAAATCAACTGGCGACCTGTCCAGGGCGTCCCCTGCCTTCGTCCTAAGTCCGCTGGGATAGACTCCAGCCTCCCACGACCCCAGTGCAGATTAAGCGGTGTATAGATAATGGATGGATGGATAATCAGAAATCAGTCGTCTCTTAGTTTTAGTCAAATGTTTTTTTAAGTGAGGCGAAATGATGCACGGATATCTGCAGTCAGTGTTTTTATTTGGAAGCTGTTGGTCAAATTTTTTGACAAAATAATAGATTTTTTAAATCTAAATGATGACACATTGAAGTCAAACACTTTACCTGTAGCTTTAAATTACAAAAGTAAAGCCTGTTTGTTATGATTTGGAACATGAAGCTTCAGTTAAAGCAAAGAAATCAAGAATGTGAGAAGCTATTCATGTTTCTGTGGTTTTAAAATGATCCTGATTCTGACATTTGACTTCAGTTTCAACACAAACACAAATACAGATTATATGAGAACCAGGTTTCAGGTCAAAAACTTAAACTGCAGAAGCTGGAATCAGAAAAGCTCAAACCAACCGTCACAAATGTTTCCACGTCTCTAACAGTTTGTTGTAACTTCCTATTTCTACAGATATCCTTTTCCTATTTCACAATTAAAGCCCTGCCCTTTTTGGAGCCCTTATTGTGAAAATCCTGCCATTGTGATCAGACTAAAGCTGCAGTTTGTGGTTTAGCTGAAACTTTATTTTAAACCTGAAGGTTTTCATTTGGAAACAGATGATTGTCTTTGGAATTGTCTCATTTTAAATTTCATCCTATAAAAACAAAACAACATCCACCTGCTGATTCTTATCAAGTAATATGTTTGTTGCTGATTGTAGAAGGTAAAACTGAACTCAGTGGGATGAAGTGCATTAAATTCTATTCACTAATATTTCCTCATAGGATCATTCTGGTGTATTCAGCCTGGTGTGCTTCCATTAGTGTATCTGTTGTGTATCTGTGGGTCACGCTGAGTTTATCTCTGATTTATAAGTAGAGGAGGAGGCTGGAAGAGACTCAGACTCATCTGGTGAGCAGAGAGCAGGCAAACTGACTAAACCAGTGAAGAAAAATAATACCACATTCAGTTACAAGTTACAAAACATTGTAATCAGGGTTTTAACTTCAAGCAATTCAATGAACACAATCAACTGTGATCATAAAAAGTTCAGCTCACAGAAAAAAGTCTGATGGATAAACTCACCTGGGTTAAGGTAAGTGTGACTTCAGAACTCCTTATTAACTCTGTTTAATCTAATGTTTGGTCTCAGCTGTCTGAGCTGCTGCAGTAACTGATGGAAACTAGAGGCTTCTCTGTCTGTGAGGCATTTAGGGAACATCTGGAAACTGCAGCATCTACTGATGACTGTGAGGCGTTTAGGGAACCGCGTCACAATTGAATAATGAAGATAAAGCATAACATCCCACAGCCAACATATTCATCCACTGCTTCAGGCAGAGTTAGTCAAACCCACAGGCACACAACAGACACACTAATGAGCAACAACCAGAATAAACCTTTAAATCTGTGAAGCTCCTCTGCGGTCTATTTTCTGTTTTTTCTTGGAGAACTGAGGTTCTGGTTCTGTTTCTGTGATCTGGTGCTGATTTCTTTGTGTGTAGACAGATTCAGGTTCTGTGATGTTCTGTTCTGTGAGCAGGTTCTGGCTCAGCTGTTTGAAATGAAGCTCAGTGTGTCTGTTCATGTTGTCTTTATTTGTGTCTCTGATGTTGGTTCTGTTAAAAAACAAACACTGACAGGTTCTCTGACTGCAGATCTGATGTGACCTGAACTCTCAGTTTGGCATCAACTGTTTTTGGCTGATAAACTCCTGAAGAACACTGATCCCACTGACAGCTGACTCTTATTCTGAAGGTTAGATCTGCTGCATCTGGAACTTTTGGATCTGAATCGGTAAGATCTTTTTGATCTGGATCAGAACCTGTTGGTTCTGTTGGACCTGGATCAGATAGATCAGAACCAGCTGGATCTTTTCACTTCGTGGTTCCTTCGCTGTCGGAGCGTCCTGGTGATTGACAGGTCAGTTGTTAGCCATCTTGCTGAACTTCTCCTCCAAGTCTTGGGCACTGATGCTGGGCAGCCCCCCATCCAGAGGACAGCCCTCCACCAGGCTGTTCATTGGGGTGGGAGGGACCCCAGACTCTTCCTCCTCACCGTCTCCAAGGCGACCGTCTCCGTCCCGCTCCCTCAGGAAGTCCTTCACGATGGGGAGGAGCTTCTTCCTGGATGCCAGAGTGTTTCCTGGGAGACAGAAACTGTGGTAAGAGAGGACCAATAAGGGCTGCTCACTGTGTTTACCTGCTGTTTTACAGGATGTTACCCTGCTGATAGGCTGACAGGAGACGATGGGGGCAGCTGATTGGACAGAGGTCGAGGGCGGGGCTACGGGCCTGCTCCAGGTACTGGCTCACCTGAGGAGAGAAGACACCTGGATCGTCATGACAACACTGACAAACACAACTCACAACTGTGTGTAGTATAGTGTGTATCAGTGTGTGGTACAGTATGTTGTACAGCATGTAGTAGTATGTAGTACAGTGTGTACCTGGTCCCTGCAAGTGGCGCTGTGGCTGAACACAGCAAGCTCTCTGATTGGCTCTTTGTTCTCAGTGAAAGAGATTGTCATCAGCAGCAGCAAATCAAATCCAAACTTCTGACAGAAACCTGAAAGCTCTGTCTCCAACTCCACCCTCTGCAGGAACTCCTGACACACACAAACACCCACAAACACATGTAAATACACACACACACACACACACACACACATAAATACACGCACACGTGTCCAAAGACAAACTACTGACTGTGAGAATAAATTCTGAGCATAAAGTCCTGCCGCTCTCTGACTCCACCTGCTGGCCGACTGACATCACTGCAGCTGATTGGTCAGCAGGGGCTGCAGGTACATGATGCTCAGCTGCAGTCACTGTACTTCTGTGTAGAATTGTGTGGTATAATGTCGTAATGTGTGCAGCAGTGTTAAAGCTTAGCACAGAAAACAGCACAGTTTGTAGTACATTGTGTAGAGCAATATGTTGTACATGGTGTAGCACAGTGTGTAGTACAATATATAGTACAGTGTGTACTGCTGACTGACCTCCAGAGTGACATAGAGAACGGAGATGGCAAGATTCAAACTTCCTGAAACAGCTTTCATGTCCTTCAACAACATCTGCTCAGTGTTCAGACCTAAGGACAAAACACTGCAATAAATACTACAAATACAGCAAAGAAATACTACAAACATTGCATTTGTTCAGTGTTTAGCCCTAAGGACAAAATACTGCTATAAATACTATTAATATTACAAGAAATACTACAAATATGGCAAGCTATACCACAAATACTGCAATAAATACTACAAATACCTCATTAATATTATGAATACCACAAGAAATACTGCTAATACTGCATTACTACTACAAACACTGCATCTCCACCGTGTTTATACCTGAAGAGAAAATCCTACAACAATACTTGAAATAAATACTATAAGTACCTCAGTGTACTACAGGTGAGTGTGGTCTAACTGTGCAGACCTGCAGTGGTCCTGAGGTTCAGGTGAGACTCACCTGAGACATCAAACTTGGCATTCTGCAGCGCCTGGAACAGAGCGCCTCTTGGTGGCAGAGAAGGGAAGCGTGTCTCCAGTGCAGCAGCAAACTGACTGTCTTTAGGAGTCACTTTACCTGCAGCAGGTGACATGTTGACGCAGTCCAGCACCACCGCAGCTGCGCACACACACACAAAAAAACATTTAGTAATCAATACTTTTTAGGGCAGAGCGAGCCTCATCAATAATCTGTAAATTCAAACAGGAGGTACAGAAATCTAATGTGTCTGACCAAGTGTGTGTGATCAGATATTGAATATCGGTGTGTCTGACCAGGTATTGATATATCAGGTGTGTCTGACTAGGTGAGTACCGTAGAGCAGCTGGGCGAGCTGCTGGTCCAGGATTTGTGGAGCTTTCTGGATGATGCGTTCAGTTACCAAGGTAGCGCAGGATCCCACTGTCTCCACGGTAACAGGACACGAGGGGGAGGGCTCTCTCTCCTGCAGGTGGTGGTCGATCACCTCCACCACCGCCGCCTCCAGGTCACTGTCTGAACTGCAGGTGAGAGGCGAATTGATGACACAGGTGTGCTCACACCCACCTACATTTCAAGGCTACCTGTCAGGTGTTTGTGCTTACCTGGGCAGCACGTTGTGGTCAACCAGTGTCAGCTGCAAGCGTCCGTCTCGCTGCAGTGATTGCAGGTCCAGGTGGTCCCTGAACAGCAGCAGGTCTGGAGACAAACCGGTCTGACGCAGCAGGAAAACATTATCTGATCGCAGCAGCAGCTCCGACTGACGGATGTTGAGCAGCGGCAAAGCGAGCATCTCACTGTGTAGAGTCTGACAGAGAGAGAGAGCGACAGAGAGACTTCAGACCCTGCTGATGAATCCTGGCAGCTGATTGGACGGTGACTCACCTTGGACAGGAAGTAGGCGTAGGCCAGAGCTGACACCATAGAGTCCAGGTCGCAGGCCTCATTCCCCAGAACAACGTGGAACCCTGGAGCCGCCGGACCCGTGTTTGCCTGGGGGATGAAGACCAGGACGGACCACACAGACAATTTTATAAACACCGCACAAAAAAACAGGATCGGAACCTCACAGGTTCTATATACGACACTCAGAACCACTTAGTGCCACCAGAACAGCAGAACCTGAGACCAAAACAAACTTCTCTGTCCCCTCACTTTATTAAGAACCAGAGAGGCTGTGAATACCAGAGTATCAACAAATAATCCAAACACTGTAAAATATACTGATACATTTATCGAACCTTTATCGACCCTTTAAATCACCTGAATAATACTTCTCAGATCTGGTTCCATGTCAGTGAAGAACTTGAATTTATGTGTCCAGTCACTGTGAATGAATGCGGTTTTAGATCTACTACAACTACCAGAATCGCACCAAAGTATCTCTGAAGAGTTAAAAAACACACATAAATGTTTAATTCAAGTTACATGTCATGGTTTTATCTGTGATTTCATGTGTATTTTTTTACAAGGTTGTACAAATTGCTTTCATTACTTGCTATTTGTTTTGTTTAAACTGTTCTGAAAAAAAAAATGTATCTTGTATTGTGTTACTTAATTTTTGTTATAATCATTTAGATTATAAAGGTCAGTAAGTTCTATACAGTTGTGTAAGTTTTGGTATTTTTATTTTTTATTTTTTTAATTAATTTTTATTTAACCAGGAAAAGGTTCATTGAGATTAAAAATCTCTTTTTCAAGAATGTCCTGGCCAAGATCAGCAGCAGTACAATTGACAGACACACAAGGTCACAACAGCAGCCACACAGACATCATACTCATAATACATGGTGAAATTACATTTTGAACATAAGAAACGAACATATCAGCAGAGATCAGAAACATAACTAGCAAAATAATCATCTGTCAAAACATCTACGGACTGATTTTCCCTCTAAGTCATTTAGAAAGACTTTCAAAGTATTTCAAGAAACCAGCTCTTGAAATTTCAGGTCTTTTTGCAAAGTGTTCCAGGTAGAGGGAGCAGCGAATTTAAAAGCTTTCTTTCCCCGTTCAGGTCTAGCCTTGGGAACAGACAGTAACAGTAGATCCTGGGACTGCAGACTGTAACCACTTGCAGCTTTTACACAAATAAAAACCTGTAAATAACAAGGAAGCAAGCCTAAAATACATTTATAAATTAAAATATGCCAGTGTTTTTTCCTTCGTGTGGTCAAATCTGATCATCCAACACCAGAGTACAACAAACAATGACGTGTAATAGACTTAAAATTGCTGAGAAACCTTAAAGCGCCGTGATGACCTGAATCTAAAACACTCAGGCTTTGAGCGGAAGCATTCATATATACTGTATCGCCATAATCCAACACAGTGATAAAAGTGGCGGCAAAAAGTCTCTTTTTGGCCTCAAAGGACAGACAAGACTTGATTCTAATGTTAAAAACCCAGTTTCAATTTTAGCCTCGTTGCCGGCTGCTGGATGTTTGGTGTGAAAGAGAGACAGTGATCGATTACAATTCCAATATATTCATACTGAGACACCATTTTAATCTGTACACCCTGAGAAGAGGTGATGGTAGGCAGATTCTGTGGTTTTGACTTGGAATTTGAGAACAACATGGATTTGGTTTTGCTTGAATTTAAAACAAGTTTTAAGTCATAGACATTTGACTGGACAATATTAAAAGCAGTTTGCAGCTGAGATAGAGCCAGTTCTGGTGTGGATGCTGAGGTGTATATCACACTATCATCTGCATAAAAATGAAAATTGGCATAGGAAACATTATCTGTAATGTTACTTATGTATATGATAAAGAAGAGTGGTCCTAGAACCGGCCCCTGTGGAACACCCTTGGTAATTTCAAAACAACTGGAAGTGAGGCCGTTTGCTTGAAAATGCTGAGTTCTATGTGAGAGATAGTTGTCAAACCAGCTGACAGAATGCGGAGAAAGTCGGAATCTGAGAAGTCTTTGTTTTAGAAGTGTGTGATCAACTGTATCAAAGGCTTTGGAGAGGTCAATGAAAAGAGCTGCACAATGATGCTTACTGTTAAGAGAGTCAATGAAGTCAATTATTACTTTTAAAGCTGCAGTAGTTGTATTATGTGATTTCCTAAAACCAGATTGATAAACAGATAAAATATTGTTGTTGTTAGGAAATTCCTTGAGTTTATTACTGATTAGTTGTTTCTGAACTTTAGCCAAGACAGACAGTTTGGAAATGGGATGGTAATTATTCAATCCTGAGGGATCACACTCTTCAAACAGGGGGAGAACATATGCAGATTTCCACATGCTGGAGATTTCATTGGTTATAAGAGACAGCTTAAAATTATATGTTAAAGGTGAAGCAATAAAATCAGCTGCTAAGTGTAAAAAATTAGGCTCTAATAAAATAGCAAGACCAGCTGATTTAGAGGTGTTCAAGAGTCTCAGGGCTTTATGCACCGTAAAGCTGGTAAAAACACAGATGTATTGTTTATAAACTTTAATCAGATCTTATTTGGACCTGAAGCAATAAGTTGATTAATCACTGAATTGCCAGCTTTTATTCTAATCATCAAAAACTGTAATAATCAATTGATTACTTGGAGTAAACTTTTAATGAAAACGCTTGAAATTCTCTAATAAACATAAATGTTGAGGTTAAAACTGTACAACTTTATAACATGTCATATTTACCTGACTGATTTAAATACTAAACCCTTACGATATTAACAATTATGCAAACTTACCTGACTGACTCAGTATTAGAACTTTAGAAAATAAAGATTTTATTTATTTATTTTTACTGTTTTTTCTTTCTCTTTCTTTCTAGCTGCACAGAAATCATTACTGAGTTCAGACAGTTATATATTAAGACACTAATATATTAATATCCATTTAATTTATCTGAATAGCTTACTGCATGAATCAGGTTTAATTAAAAGTTTAATTGATTCACTTCTGACTACATTATTGAAATGTGTTGTGTTCTAACCTGAAGGTGTGGCTGATGCTAACCTGACCGCGCCCATGTTAAATAAATCAAAGCAGAACAATAAACAACTGTACACCGCTGCTGTGACACTGTGTGGGCTATCAGGCTAACGTTACACTGACGGCTTGCTGTGCTAACGGCTAACACTGTGTGAGCTAACAGGCTAACGTTAGACTGACGACTAGCTGTGCTAATGGCTAACACTGTGTGAGCTAACAGGCTAACGTTACATTGACGACCAGCTGTGCTCAAAGCTAACAGAATGTTACCTTCACGGCCCGCTGGCAGCTCGTCAGGAACTCCTCCATCACTGTTAGCTGTTAGCCGCTAGCCGTCCCGCTCTGACCGCCTCTGACCCGCCAACTGCTCTCTCTCTGACCGGGTAACTGCTCCGGTAAACGGCGAGAGCCGGTTCACCGGGCGACGGGCTGTCAGTCACACACGGTCCCGTTAACGTAACGGTCAGCAGGCTGCAGGTAACCATAGACTGTCTGTAACGGACCAGGTAAAAGGTCAGGGTGCGTTCAGGGACACAGCTAAAGCTCGGAAATGTTCCGGCTGCTGACAGAATAAACCACCACGTGAGTATGAACCAAAACCAACGAAGAACAACATTAGGGAACATGTACAGCACCAGAGTCAAACTATACAGTAAAAATCATTCACAAAGTGCATTTGTGCATCACAAGAAGGTCATATTTCTGAAACAGAGATGTACATTTTTATTTTATGTGAATATATCAGTTTTATGAGAAACAATGTTTTGAAAGTAAAGTTTATCTTTCCTCAAAATACATTACTTATTCATTTCATTTCTGTTGTAACATTGCATTTTAAAAATTTAATTTTGGGATATAATAATAAATTACAAAGGAACACTTTGGGATTAAAGTCAAACCTACAAGAGTTACATTACTAATTAGTTGTAAAGCGGGTAAAAAACAAACTGTCAGAATACACATACATAAACATGCAACTGAAATATGACATGTTTTACCTATTGTATTTTTGGGGTCATTATATGACATTGCAATATTTTTCAAAAAATATTCAAACATTATTCTCTTTTTTTTTCTTCTTGGCAGCAGCTATGAAAGTGAAAAATGTCAGATCAATTATAGTCCATACCAATTAAACTAAAAGCTTGGTGGTTAGCTCTGTTGCCTCGCAGCGAGAAGATCCCTGGTTCACGTCCCAACTAGGACGCCCAGGATCGTTCTGCATGGAGTTTGCATGTTCTCCCCGTGCAGCATAGGTTCTCTCCAGGCTCTCTGGATTCCTTTTATTGCCACAGTCCAAAAACATGTTGAGGTCAATTGGTGATTCTAAATTGTATATAAATGTGAGTGTGCTTGGTTATCTGTCTCTAAGTGTAGATAGACTGGCGACCTGTCCAGGGTGTCCCCTGCCTTTGCTCTAAGTCAGCTGGGATAGACTCCAGACCACCACGACCCTAGTGAGGATTAAGTGGTGTATAGATAATGAATGGATGGACAAACCTCCTGAGGTACAGAACTCTGGGTAATGTAGTTTCCTGCAATTTCACTTTGTGTGAAAAATATCTAATTACATTCCAGTTGCATAAAGCTGACCAGTTTATGTTCTGAGTGGACTATATGTGCATGTGTAACACTCAGGTACTCAGACAGGTGAAATGTCAGTTTATTGGCTGTTCCAGGATTAGCTGGAGGATCTGAATTAAGACAAACTCACCATTAGCTCACTGACAAAAACCCTGAACAAGACCTGGGCACAAAACAAACCGGACAGCATTTCAGTGTAAAAATGTTTAATCATTTATAAAGATTATGTTTCTATTAAATCCGTATTTCATCTTTTAATCAGAGATAAAATGTTTGATGTGTTTTCAGCAGTGATGTTTTACATGTTCAGAAGAATAAAAGAAGTTTGTTTTACATGTTTAAGCTCCAGGGTGACTTTCACTTTCTGATCATCTTGTCTGTGTTTGACACTTGAAACCCCAGGCATGTTTGATCTTTTTGTCTATTCTGTATCTGTAATGAACACTGGGGCCTACAGGGAGCACTGACAGGACAAAACACGATATCAGGTGGTAACACTGACATGAGAATTTATCAAGACGATGTTTTTAAAGACACCTGAGATGATCAGAGACTGTAGTCACACAGACACATTTAGGCCAACTGGATGCAACATGAGATTTGAAGCCATGTGAGGACCATTTAGCAGGACAGTGAGCAGTGTTATGGGGACACTTTGAGTCCAGAAGTCAGCAGGTAGAAACACCTGAACCTGACCTTCGACCTCTGCGGCCCTGGTTGACTGATGGCTGCTACTCGTGTTTGTTAACGTTCAGGTTTCTGTTGACCCAGTGGTGGCAGCAGGTTGGTGACCTCTGACCCCAGACAGAAAGTCTAGATCTTCTCCACGTAGTTTCCGGGGAACATGCCCTCTCTGCCACGCAGCCGACCAAACCACCAACCAGACGGATCTGCATGAACACAAAGATGCTGCTGAGGATGACAGGCCTGATTGATGCTAGCAGCAGTGCTAAAAGCAGCATTAGCAAGCAGACCTATCAACAGTATTAGGCATAGTGCCAACGGCAGCAGTAGCACTGGCACTACAGTATTAACAACATAAGCAACAGTAGTAGCAGCTGTAAAAACACTGCTGTATTAGCAGCATTAGCTGTAGTACTACAGCATTATCAGTGATACTACAGTAGTAGCAGTATTAGCAGTAGTCCTACCCTATCAGCAGCAGTACTACAGTATGAGTAGCACTGCAAGTAGTACTGCAGTATATGCAGTAGCACAGTATAAGTATTAGCGGCACCTTCAGTGAGTATCTCGATGACGTCATCAGCGTTGAAGCTTAGCTCATCGGTGTCCTGGGCATCGTAGGCATACAGTGCTCGACAATGTGGAGTTCTTGGCTTTGGTTTGGGTCGGCCCGCCCCAGGAACAGGCTTCACCTCCTTCGACCGCCGCCGCTGCAGCCTGCAGGCAACACGTAGAGATTACTGTACTCTGTACACCAAGCTTACTGGTTGTAATGGTTAAACAGGTGACACTTGGTTTAGGTAGTCAGGTTATATTGATTATACTGATTACACTGGTTCTACCAGTGACCCTGGTTTTACTGGTTCTGCTGATTCTGCTGATGACCTTGATTCTTTAGGTTCTACTGGTGATCTTTGTTCTAAAGGTTTTACTGGTTGTTCTGATTTTGCTGGTGACCCTCCGTCATTCCAGGTGGTCTTACCCTGCAGCGCCCTGGTCAGGGACGTCCATGAAGCCCATGTCATGGTGTTGGGTGCGTGGGTTGTCTCGGCGGTGCTGGCTCTGGAAGCGGGGCAGCGTGGGCTGCTCCATGCTGGATTGCTGCCTCAGTAAGGAGCCTCTGGAGGAGGAGGCGCCTCCCCTTGGAGCCCTGCCCCCTCTGGAGTGAGGAGCTGAAGAAATAAAACAACCTTTAGAGCCCCAAATCCACCTGGATGCAAACATTCTGACCCTTGGAGATTTAACCCATACCTGAGTTGTACTGGCCCGTGGGTGGAGCCTGGTGGCCCATGTAGCGGCTCTTGCGGTTGTCCTTCCTTGTCGGTCCTGCAGATCAAACGGACAGATAGTGAGGTGGAGTGAAGAGCACTCTACTATGGTGACTGTATCGAGGACTTACTGGAGTTCTTAGGTAGACCTGGTCCAATGGAGACCTGCAGGACCTTCCCACTGGGCTTCAGGACCACCTCGTCCCCCTGACCCCCCTGAAACTGGATCTGCCTGGACCCTGAGGAGCTGAAAGGACCCCAGCCACCTTTTTTCACCTTAAACTCCAGACTGGACGGGGACAGTGGATGGAGACAGTTAGTGTGAAGAAGTAGGAGGGGTTTTTCTTCTGTACAATAAAATACTATCAGGCCTTTACCTCAGATGACTGATGTTGTGAACTGGTTCTATTTTACTCAATCTGAATTGAACTGAACATGTGTGTTTATATGTATATGTGTTTACTGTACTGCACAGATAACATGAGGGTGTCGACTGAGTTTGTTACTGACAGGTTGTTGAATTTCAGTGGCAGCTTCTTCTCCGTTTTCTCCTGATAACGTTTTACTAGCAGACTGAGGAACTCTGTCTTAAAGATGCTCTGAAGAACGCTGTCGTACTCCTCCTCGTGAACTATGAAGAAGTCATCCTGCAGAGTGCTGAGAGACAGACAAATGGACACTCAGGTGTTTTTATGTTCTCTCATAGCAAACAAGTTACATGCTTCACTGTCCAAATGTTCTGGTACATGTTTATAATTCTGATCCTGGTAGAAGGTCTAGTTCCAGTCGTAGCTCTGGTCTAGTGGCCCTGAGTCCACTTTCTTTCCAGTTTCACAATGGTCTTGGTCAGGGGTGGGCAATCCTGGTCCTCGAGGGCCACAATCCTG